AATAAAGTCAAAGCATAGATACCGGGTACAATTAAACTAAACTGTAGCCATTAGCTCCTGTTGTTTTCCTGCTGAAATTATCAATTAGTGTTAACCGAGTCCTTTTGGACATCATTTGTTGGAACATTTTTCTTGTGTACATTGCCACCATGGTCTGTGATGGGAAGTACAGCATGCACACAGTACCGGTACATACTCAATTTGCAATGAAGCTAGAAACAGTCGGACAGCAGCTATCACGTGTTTTAGAAGTACTTTGACGTTGACCATGTGGTGATGTTAGATCATGCAAGTCAAAACACAAACAAGCAAATTTTAATCAAATAGTGTTCAAGTTGAAAGACAGTACTTACTATGTGTTTACAAAAATGTGCTATTTATTTATTTATTGCAACTAATGTCCGCAAAATTACAATTAATTTTACCAAAAAAACCTACAAAATAAAAAGAATTGTATATAACGTTGCTCTCTACCACCCCCTACTCCATACAACACAGTCACCATCATGATCAGTGGCGTTTCATCCCATGTAGGGCCCTGGCCCTGCTCCACCACATCCTTCAATTTGCATTGATCAATGGTTATCCTCCCCCATGCTCAGACTCCCATTTGTTGTAAGTCCTTCTCTACATCGTCAATCCATCTCAGTCTGGGTCCACCCGTAAGCTGTCTGCCCCTAGGTTTCTGTCTGTAGATCACTTTTGCTGCTCTACAACCTGGCTTCCTTTCAAGCCGTCATGTCCAGCGCTGTCTGCCTTTTTTTTTATTTGTTATGAATATGGGTGGGTTTTCGAACATTTGGTTTAACTCTTTGTCTGTACGGATTCTCCACCCATCATGGTCTATCACCGGACCTTATATTTTCCTCTCCTGTTGTGCAGTTTCTCTGCTTTTCTGATGAGAGACCAAGTCTCACTTGCGTAAATTACAACTGAAGGAAATAAGCAACACACAAAAAAGTATGGGAAAACCTGAAAAGGGATGCAACAAAACAATTGAAGTGTTGGCAAGAAGCCTTCTTCAGGTAACAAACAAAAGTAAAAACAAGATAAAAATAAACACTTAGCTGCAATGTAGTATCCAAGAGGACAGCAAGAGAAATGTGCTGGAAGTGTAGTATTAGTAGTTCGAGAGTCAATGCAGGCAAAAAAGGGATGGAAGAAATGAAAAGAAAGGCCACTTTGATTGGTCGAAACAAGAAGGAGAAAGGGTTTAACAAGTGGAGGTTATCATGTCATTCATGCCATGTGGTGTCAAGGTCCCATAAGTCTGAATCAATTTGTTCTCCAAGTTCCCCCTTGCGGGCATGTAGGTACAAGAGACAACGTCGGTGATAGCAACATCCTTGGAGCCCTTGTGATTGCTTCTATTGGAGTGTTATGAGATGGCACACACAAGAAGAACATGTTTAAGATTAACGATCAGGAATTCATTAAAGCTAAAAAAGTATTGAAAGAAAAAAATATATCAGGGTAAAAAACAAAACACGCAAAAAATCGAAAAATGATTCACTACTAACAATTCAAAGGCTTGTTGGGCAGGACTCAAGCAAATAACAGGATATACTCCTAAGCGAGAATGCTTATGTGTTGAGGATGTGAGGAATTTTGTTAACGACTTAACTGACTTTTATTATCGTTTTGACAGCCTGGATTTTGGAAGAGTGCACAATGAGATGATGAATTCATTTCAAGATGGCAGTAGTACATAGGATGGTACTTTATTGTTTACCAAACAGAGAGTGATGTCATTATTTAACCAAGTGGATGCAGCTAAAGCCTCGGGACCAGACACATTAAGTGGTCGGCTCATTAAACTATGTTCAGAGCAGCTCTCCTACATTTTTTGTTAAATATTTAATAAATCTTATGTAACTCACACAATATCAGCAATTTGGAAAACTTCAGAAATCATACCAATTTAATAGAAAATTAAGGTAACGTGCAACAACGACTTATTACCTGTTGCACTTACCTCTATTGTCATGAAATGTTTTGAGAAAATAAGTGTGAAAGAAATTTTGAATGAAGTACAGCAAAAACTTGACCCACACCAATTTGCTTACAAACCTGCCAGAAGTACGGAGGACGCAATCTTACTATTGTTGGAGAGACTTTACCATCACCTAGACAGTCCTAAAACATATGCCAGAGTGCTTTTCTTAGACTTCTCATCAGCATTTAACACTATCCAACTATACCTTATGATAAAGAAACTTTCCTCGTTAGGTGTCAATTTAAATATTGAGGCTTGGATACTAAACTTTTTAAAAAATCGACCACAATATATCAAAGTAAATAACCAATTATCTCTAACCAGAGAAATAAGCACCGGGTCACCACAAGGCTGCGTTCTCTCCCCTGTGCTGTTTACAATATATACCAATGATATATTCAAAGCTCAAGTGACACCGTTCCAAACTTAAAATTTGCTGATGATACAAACATTGTTGGTTTAATATCTGAAGGAGAGGGCATATACCGCAACTTAGTTACGAGCTTTATCAATTGGTGCGATGAAAATTTTCTCCAATTGAATGTCTCAAAAACTAAAGAAATGGGTGTTGATTTCAGGAGGGGGAAACACCAGATTACAGATCTCAACATAAAAAATCAAAGTGTAGAGAAAGTGGAGGCATACAAGTACTCAGGTGTCACCATCAATAATAAGCTAACATGGCATGAGCACGGCCAAATTCTGTATAAGAAATTCAACCAAAGACTGTTCTACCTCAAAAAACTGTACAATATCGACGTAAACAAGCAAGTCGTTAAATTATTCTAAAGTGCAACAATTGGAAGCCTACTTAATTTCAGCATTACTATTACCTGCTGGTGTGGGAATTCAACGTCTGATATTAAACACCGCATAAACCGACTAATCAAGAAAGCTAGAAACATAACACAAACTAAACATCATTCACTTGAAGAACTATTTGAAGAAAGATGTTTTTGTAAAACTAAACACATTTTGGAAGATACATATCACAATCTTCATCACAGATACTTCGGATCAGGCCGTTCGGAACGAATTCTTTCCATCAGGGCGAGGACTGACAGATATAAAAATTCTTTTGTTCCCCAATCTAATTTACCGGCATGCTTCCTCTGAAGTCACACATCTGAATGAGAACTATTAAGTCCCCGATTTTGCTAAGAGAATTCACTGAATGGCTGTTTGAAATAATTTATTATAAATGTCTTGAGTTCAAATTGTTTTATTTTTTAACTGTAAATGTATAATGCAATCAAAAAACATTTCCATTTATTTGGATCAATTAAAGAATCTTATCTTATCTTGCACAATATTTCTAAGACGTTCAGTACATCTGTCACAGAGGCGCCGTCCAGTCTCACCTAAATACGCCATTTAGCAGCGGTCATGAACAATGGCCTATGAAAACATTTCGGCTAGTAAAAATTATATATATCAAGCATGCTATAAAGTCTCTATAGTCTCGAGCAGCATTCACGTAATGGTGGTTGTGGAAGGGTACCAGTCGGCGAGTCTTATCCTTATGTTGTCGGTCCACAACTTAACACCGGTCGTACAAACTTAAAACTTTGGGAAACACTCTTAGAGTACACTAAGAGTCTCGTTGACAAACCTCATGACAACGTAAATTGACTACAGATCCTAATTTCAGTGCATTGGCTGATGCAAATCTGCAATCATATTATGTTATGTGTTGACATAATATTATTATAGAAACGGTTAACAATGAAATTTGCGGATTTCAAAACTGATATTAGTGATATCCAGAATCATCTTATCGAAAGGGACTGTGTTTTCGTGAATTTAAACGCTATATTTGAAATATGCCATCACAAACATGTCCCAAATGACGAATCCTTTTTTGTTGAGGAGCAGGTGGTCATGTCTTATGCATTGTCGGTGCTGTTGAACATGATATTTCAACATGACTTGTGATGCAAAATAAATCCTACAGATTTTGTAAATCCGTTCAGGCAGCGATGCTATTATTGCTAATCACTTTACGTTCCCCTAATTCTCAAACTATCGTATTCCTACTCTATTAATATCATTTATCTTGACTGCAAATGACGCTTGAACTTGGTCCTTGTTCCATACTTGCAAGACGATCGCAAACACACCACATTCTGACCAGCCATCAGCAGAGCACAGACAGACACATATTAAATAAATCTTATAGTTATAGTGTTAAAAACCTAAAAAATAATATAACTATTTTAATTTACACTCAATTTGCCCCCCCCAACCATTTTCAACAGTTGTCAAAAATTCCCCCCCCCCCCCATTTTGTTGAAATAATTAGTGGACGATCCCTAAGGAATTATATTATATTCGGCAGCCATATTGAAAGCATATTAAATCAAGGCAGTTAATGCATTAAGTCAATTCACGAGTGTGGACATATGTAGAGTTTTGAGTGACATGATATTTATACATCTCGAGAAAGACAATGAATTTATAGTGAGAGATGTTCAATTACTATTCCAAATTTCATCTTATGTCATTTGACACATTATACACTTATGAAGTTATTTATGTGTCAGTTGTTTACAATCTGTGCATGTGCAGTCTTAGCTAACATGTGCTGATATTAATCAAAATAAGACAGTCCACAATAAAGTATAACATGTCAAAGATCTGATATAATTAATTTCTGATTTAGTTGTGTCATTCCTCCCCCCCCCCCGGAATAGATTTCATACTTATAAGATACAAAGAGATCAGCTTAATTCATTGAAGCAAGGGAATATTTTGCAATTACAATGTAAATGTAGGCCAACATTTACATACAGTATTGTTAGAGTTAGCACACTGATAGAAACAACATGCTGATTATTGTTAACATGATTTCGAAGATCAAGACGAGCTTTCCTTAGTTATTAACCAATCTCTCCAGGACGCACACAGGCTCGGTAAACATTTTTGTATTTAAATATAATAAAAAATATATATGCATTACAATTTTGAATTTTATTTTTTTAAATAATATTTTTTTTAGATTTTTACAATTGGTTTATACTATATATAATATAATCTATAACAGAGATCAAGGCAACAAGCTAATAAAGAGGTACCCTCCATTACACCGAATGCAATTTATACTTGTTTCAATAACATTAATAAATAACAGACATACCAGAATTATACGTGTGATAACTTAAGGTTACAAATGGTGAAAACCTCAGCACTCAAAAAGTCTAAACACAGTAATTGATGGATTGTAGTAGAGCACATTAAGGTTTACAGGTATTGATGGATTGTAGTAGAGCATATTAAAGGTTTACAGGTATCAAGTAAAACATTGAACTGTTACAAGATAAACCAACAATGAAGGCTTTAACAAAACTTCAACTAGCACTTCAGACAAGTACTGAGGACAATCAGCACTGCAGGCAAACAGCACTGTAGACATTCAGCACTGTAAACAACCACAGTGGATACTCAGTACTGTAAACAATCACTGTAGACAATCAGCACTGTTGACAATTAGAACTGTCAATAACAACTGTGGACAATCAGCCAAAACTTTGATCATTATGAAAACTGACACCATGATCATTCTGATCATTACTGGGTATTGAAAAAAATCTGATTTAAACAAGAAAGTATCACCATTTTAAGTGAATTTGTAAAATATATTTATGCTCGAAACCAAAGACAAAATACATTATAAACAAATCTGCTACATGACTGATCCAAACCTTTTACCATGAAACATATATTTTTGGTTAAATTTGGAAATGGCCTGCATTTTATTTGTGCAGTTATATATCGTAGAGACTCGTTACAAAAGCCACTAAAAAGTTATTTTTGTTTTTATCATCCTACCTCCACAGATGTCGCTGCTTTCATTTCATTCTATTGAGTCAGGAATACATAGATTATATAAAAAAAGTTATTTTATGTTTCCATTAGGGCCCCTTGAAACATTTACAAAAGTGCTTATCTAAAAATCAAAGAGTGAAATATTTATTAATTTTAAAACTGTGTAAGTTTAAATTAAGTTGCAGCAAGTTAGAGTAAAAAATACAATTTAAAAAGCTTGAATGAAGAATGCTTAAACTATTAATTACTACCATTATACTATTAAAAGGGAGTGAGGACTACATTAAAAAGTATTGTGTTTTCCATCAATGATTCCTTTAAGTACGGTAGATAATAAAAACCAATCTCCTGAAACCTACAATTCACTTTAAGACATAATTAGTGTAAAAGATGGCAGATTTCAAGGAAAAGGCTTATTTCTCTTCAAACACAACACCTGTAGCAGCTTTACGCTTCCGACTAAAAGGGTTTACTGCACTCATTCCAACTTTCTTCACCTTGGTTCTACCAGCAGTTTTCTTTGGACTCAAGTCCACAAGTCCCAAGCCACTATTGGAAGATTTCTGTGTATTAAGCAGTTGCTCCTTTGCCAAAGATAGCTCTGATTTCACTTTTGCAAGATCTTCTGCCATCATGTAGAGAAGAGACTGCAATTCATTTTTTTTTTCTGCTGCCATTGCTTCGTAAAGTTCAAGATTTATAACTGAGCTATCCTTTCCAAGTGATAATGTCACTTTTGTACCAATGCGCCCAATGGAAATTTCCCCTGTTAAAAATCCATTGCTGTAAAACAAAAGTTTGAAACATAATTTGACTATTTAAAAATAACAACATATAGAACAAAAATATACTTTAAAAAAAAGAGTGTGTATTAAGTTGTTGAATGGTTAAAGGAGAAGTTGAACTCTGAGTTTAAAAAAACAACAACTGAAGGATAATATATGAGGGTCTGTGTTCAAGCTATGTGAAGTAAATAAATAGTGGAGTTAATATATGTTTAGGTCTGAAAATAAAAGACAAGACAATTAAGCCGATGTTTTGGCTAAATTCTTTCTTCAGCAGACATTACAATACAGCAGTGATAGTGTGCTTCTTGTTCTGAACATTGAGCTACATATAATCTATTGAGATCTTTGAAAACATAATTATTTTTTAATTTAAATTTATCTGTTGTTTATTGTATCTCATTCCAATATTTACTTTAAAAACACTAATTTCACTGAAGTTGTAAATGTAAGAGAGCAGCTCAGTTTGTGTTGGCTTAAAAAATTTCTGAAGTGTCCTCACAAAAAATAGATGTTGTCTTACTTACTAGTTATGTTACAACTACAACTGCCAGGATAAATATGGAAAAAAAAAAACATTACTCATTTCTGGGGCATAGGCACTGTAGATTTTTTTGTAGGGGGGTTGGGTGTCAATTTGTCATTTTTAGCTGGGAGACTTATTTGGATTATAAAAAGCCATCAATAAATGATGTCAAGCACCCTAAATTCTTCATTTACTTAAATCGTTTGATTCTTAAGATTTTCAGCTCTTTGCATGGTCCATTATAACTGGGTTTATCTTGGGCACACCATTATTTTATTCCTTGAACTAAATTTTATTTTTAAATTTTGTTTACCGGTATATAAATTTTAATAAAAAAAGTTAATAAGTTATAAGTTAACGTTTTTAAAAAATATTTATATGCATCACATTTTCAGTACCAGTATTTTAAATAAAATAAAAAAGCACAAAGAGCACACAAGAGACAAAATCGTAACAATGATTTAAATCAAGTTTTATTCCTACCCGCCTGCACACAACTGCAAAATGTTTCCATTAAAAATTCTTTTTTTATTTCAAACTAGCAAGTACCCGGCATGCGTTTGCAATGCCACCCTAAGAAAGAAGGTGTTTTGTTTTAATAATGTTTTTTGCAGTACTTTTTATATTGATAATATTTTTTTTGTTTTTCCGTATTGTGCGTACACAAATCTTCTTCTTCTATATCTTAAGGGCCCACGATCAATTTATTGATCATTTTGGCTCCTATGCATGTAGATGGGATTTGCAATGTTTCTGTTACTGGTGGGTTTTTCGATCCATGAGCAGGCCACATACAGCTGTCCATGTGAGAAGCATAGATTTTCAAACGTTTGACCACACACTTGTAGTGAGTGATCCACCCATGCAATAGCTCTGTTTGAAATTATGCTCATATAATAAAAAAAATGAATTTAGGGCCCAGGCCCCAAATGGAATATATTAACATAGTTTTACTATATTCAGAAACCTACTTAATATGTTACACACAAACTGAAATGTCTTTATTTGTATTTGATTAAATTAAATCCACCGAAGCAATAGCTTCATTTGAAATAATAATTATATTTATAGAACTCATATAAAAAAAACGAATTTTGGTCCCCCAGCCCTAAAAGGAATATTGTAAAATGGTTGTACTAATTCAGAAAACTTTGTGGGCGTGTGCACAACAACTCACTAAAGTTTTATCGCAATCGGATAATTAGCATAGGAGTGCACACGGAAATTATATTTACATAGCTCATATTAGAAAAAAAACAAATTTAAACCCAACTATCCAAAATGGAATATTTTAAAAGGGTTGTAATGTCTCAGAAAAATTTGCTGGCTTGTGGACAATAACTCACCAAAGTTTTATTGCAATCACATGAATGGTATAGGATCGCAAACAGGACATACATACATTCATTTTTATATATGACATGTAGATGAAGCTAAATTAAATGTAATATGAATATTGTGGATGTGAGCCTCCAAAATGGCTTTGATTAGCCGCAGTCTGAGAATAGCATCTCTATTAATATTTACTCATAAAGTTAATAAACTATAATTTAAAAAAGCAAAAAGCAGGACAAAACAGTTTACTGAATTTTCAGTAGGAAGACAGCAATTGATCCAGTTTCACTATGAGCTTTGAGTCCATCCTCATCCAAGTCCAGTAACCATACATCTACACCATCAGTTACTTGAAAAACAAGAGATTTTCCATTGTTTCTGGTGGAGCAAATATATTTTTGGCGTCCATTAACAACCACTTTAAACAAATTGTCCACTTTTGCTTCTGAAATAATCTGATTTATATCAGTATCAGCCATAAGTATTTCGATGAAAAGGCTCAGTCTCAGTCAGGAAGTACTAGTTTAGGCTGATTCACTCAATCTCTGGCAGAATAAATAGATAAATATTATAAAAATAAATACGAAAACATTAATCTAATATATTATAATTAATATTACCGATAAATAAATATAGCCTAATATTATATTGAGTTATTTTGGGCCGCTTAGGCATATATATATATATATATATAATATGTGATCCACTATATTCTAGCTTAGAGTTATGTCTTTAATTTAAAGTAGGCAGAAGTATAATTACTTTTTAATTCTTACTAATTACTAATAATAACTGAATACTGTATTATACAGTAGTACAGCCTATGTTACTATACTATAGACTATAATAGACTATGTAGTGCTAAGGACAAGGTTATTGTTATTTAAGAATCTATCTAAGTTTTAAAGTATAGTGATATAGTCCATTTTATAGTGTACAGTGTGAGTGTATTATTAGTAAGGTAGTCACCACTGCCACCTGCCCGCCCCTAGTCCTAGTTAAGCTAAGCCTAATTAATAAGTCTGAATCAAATATAAACAAAGAATTTGTAACATCCACAATAAACAAAATAAAAGAGAAAAACAGTACAATATTCAGAAATTGAGTAGGGATCCAAAAATTACTGAGGAATATCAACAGAAGATTGAAACTCAACTAGAATTATCCAGAAGAGAATCAGCCAGCAACGTTGATACAAATCAGCAATGGGAAAAGATGAAGCAAATAGTTAAAAGTGTAACAGAGGAAACGATTGGATTTAAACCGGCAGTGAAAAGAAAAGGATGGTATGACGCAGAATGCAAAGAACTTATAGAACAAAGAAACAAAGCTCGGCTAATGATGCTGCAAAGGGAGACAAGAAGAACACGGAAATTATATAATGAAACAAGAAGGGTGGCCAGCAAAATTTGCATAAAGAAAATACGTGTTTGGGAAAAATAAAAAATAGCAGAGATAGAAGAGTTGGCAAAAGAAAGAGATGTGAGGAGAATGTACCTGAAGATAAAGCAGGAAAATAATGGCTTTCAAGCAAGATCCCACATGTGTGAAAGTACGGATGTAGAATTGATCACAGAGAGTAGAAGAGTACTAGAGAGATGGGCACAACACTTTGAACTTTGAAGGCTTACTGAATGGCTCAGGTGGAGGAACCAATGAGGATTACGCTCTGCCACAAGGAGAACCGGACCCACTGGTCAACCAATCAATATTAAATGAAATAAAAGATGCAATCTCCACCATGAAAAATAACAAAGCCCCAGGAATAGACCTTATCTCTGCAAAACTGATAAAGCTAGGTGGTAACGAACTGCATGGGCGAATACACGACCTTATATCCAGAATCTGGCAGGAGGAAGAAATGCCAATTGAATGGGACACAGCGCTCATAATCCCAATGCACAAAAAAGGATCTAAGTTGATCTGCTCAAACTATAGAGGAATCTCCCTTCTTAATGTAATGTACAAAATCCTCAAAAACTTAAGGCGAGAAAACTGGAAAAGTATAGTGAACAGATCCTAAGGGACTATCAAATGTGGATTCCAGCAGAATAGGTCAACCACGGGTGATATTTTTACCATAAGATGTCTCCTGGAGAAATGTTACGAATGTAACATTGGCATACACCAACTATATGTGGATTATAAAACAGCATTTGATAGCGTAAACAGGAATTACTTATAAGATAAGATTCTTTTATTGATCCAAATAAATGGAAATTTTTTGGATTGCACTATACATATTCAGCACATAAATAAAACAATTTGAACACAAGACATTTATAATAAATTATTTCAAATAGCCATTCAGTGAGTTCTCTTAGCTGAATCAGGGAGTTATTAGTTCTCATTAAGATGTGTGACTTCAGAGGGAGCACGTCGGTAAATTCGTACAGATTGGGGAACAAAAGAATTTTTATATCTTTCAGTCCTCGCCCTGATGGAAAGTATTCGTCCTAAACGGCCTGATCCTAAGTATTTGTGATGAAGATTATGGGATGCATCATCCAAAATGTGTTTAGTTTTACAAAAACATCCTTCTTCAAATAACGGGAGTTCTGCAAGTGAAGGATGTTTAGTTTGTGTTATGTTTCTAGCTTTCTTGATTAGTCGGTTTATGCGGCCTTTAATATCAGACATTGAATTCCCACACCAGCATGTAATAGTAATACTAAAATTAAGTAGGCTTCCAATTGTTGCACTGTAGAATAAGTTAACGGCTTGCTTGTTTACGCCGATATTGTACAGTTTTTTGAGGTAGAACAGTCTTTGGTTGAATTTCTTATACAGCATTTTGCCGTGCTCATGCCATGTTAGCTTATTATTAATGGTGACACCTAAGTACTTGTATGCCTCCACTTTCTCTACAGTTTGATTTTTTATGTTGAGATCTGTAATCTGGTGTTTTCCCCTCCTTAAATCAACAACCATTTCCTTTTTTTTTGAGACATTCAGCTGGAGAAAATTTTCAGCGCAACAATTGATAAAGCTTGTAACTAAGTTGCGGTATATGCCTTCTCCTTCAGATTTAAGCCAACAATGTTGGTATCATCAGCAAATTTTAAGATTGGAACAGTGTCACTTGAGCCTTGAATATATCATTGGTATATATTGTATACAGTACAGGAGAGAGAACGCGGCCTTGTGGTGACCCGGTGCTTATTTCTCTGGTTAGAGATAATTGGTTACCTTTTTATTTTGACATATTGTGGCCGATTTGATAAACAGTTCAGTATTTAAGTCCAAGCCTCAATATTTAAATTGACACCTAACGAGGAAAGTTTCTTTATCATAAGGTGTGGTTGGATAGTGTTAAATGCTGATTAGAAGTCTAAGAAAAGCACTCTGGCATATGTTTTAGAACTGTCTAGGTGATGGTAAAGTCTTTCCAACAATAGTAAGATTGCATCTTCAGTACTTCTGGCAGATTTATACAGTGCTCTACAAGAACTTGGAGTCCCTAACAAGCTTACTCGGCTCATGTATATGACAATGGCCAACTCCAAAAGTAGAATCAAGGTGCAGGGAGAATACTCAAGGGAGTTCCCAGTTAATCGGGGCCTCAGACAAGAAGACTCACTTTCATGTGTCCTGTTTAACATCACGCTAGAAAAAGTTATTAAAAGAATACACGTGAGCACCAGTGGAACCATAACAAACTACTTCCAGAGAGATATTACATAACAACGACCATCAGAAACCTTATATAGCCAACCATTGCAGTACCTGGCATATGCAGGCCATATAGCACTACTGGGTAGAAACCGTAATGACATAATTAAAGCATTCAGGGAACCAGAAAATGCCTCAAAAGCTGGTCTTGATATAAATGAATCGAAGTAAAAAAAATGATAATGTCAAGAAACTCCCATGCTGATGATAACATCAATATAAACAACCACAAATTTGAGAGAGTGGCTACATTCAAATATCTAGGGGCAACTATGAACAAGCACAATGAGATAATGTCGGAGGTGAAAGAAAGGATAACAGCAAGCAACCGTTCCTATTTCAGCCTACAAAAGCTACAGGGAAGCAAAAACCTCTCAAGGGGAACAAAGAAGACAATGTATACCACTATCATACGACCAGTAGTAATGTACGCTAGTTAGACCTGGACCCTTAACAGAAAAGCAGAGAACCTGCTCACCACATGGGAGAGGAAAATCCTCCGAAAGATATATGGCCCAGTAATAGAAAATGATATCTGGAGAATCCGTGTAAACCAAGAACTTTACCATTTGTACAAAGACCCACCCAAAGTCACAATGATAAAAAAAGGCAGACTACGCTGGGCAGGAGATATTGAAAGGATGCCGGAATGAAGAGCAGAAAAAGTTATATACAGGCAGAATCCTATGGACTAGGGGCAGACGACTCACCGGTCGCCAAGGGTGAGATGGTTGAGAATGTGGAGATGGATACATCAGTTGGGGGTTCGCGCATGGAGGCGGAAAGCCAGGGATCGCTCCGAATGGAAGGATGTGGACTGTGGTGGAGCAGGCCAGGGCCCTACATGGGCTGTAGCGCCAGATGATGATAATTATTATTAAGTCTAAGTTAACTAAGTACTAATATTAAGTCTACTCTAAGTAAACTAAGTCTAAGAAGCTAATTCAAGTGACTTTATACTTTATAACTTATTACCAATCGTTTATTGCTTGCTGCTGGACTGCATTACTATTACTACAGCAATACACTATGCACTGACACCTACTAGGAGCTGTTAAACTAGCAACACTATTCCCCCAACCTTTGCACAGATGCCAGTATATGGATGCAGCGACGAACACTACCAGAACAAAACATTCCTGCCTCCTACTCCTACATTTTAATAAACTCTAAGAATACTAAGTCTATTATTATTAACTAAAAACATCTATTATTTTCATATTTTTAATCTTAAAAATTATGTTAACTTATATTCATAATTTTTATAATTAAATGAAATATTACACTTAAACTAAAGACAGTTTTAAAATTAAGAAAAGTACTTTTTAAAAATTAAAAAAAACTAGTTTCAGGTCACCTGGTGGGATTTTTTTATTAACTCACCTTAAAATGGCAGCCCTCATGAGATGCGGCGTTCTAAGACATCGCAACCTTGTCCAAAGTTTGGCCTCGTTATTCCCAGTAACTAATAATTATGGGGTTAAATCGCCATGTCTTTGGAGGTATTTGTGAAACCATCAATTTTTATAATTTTTTTCTATTTTTTCCTGTTACTAGTTATATTGTTTCTAAACCATTATTAGTATTAGGCCTACTTATTTAAAGTAACATTAAAAATTAAAAACAAATGTGTGATAGTGTAACTAAGTGTAAGTGTAGTGTCTAAGTTACTTAGTAAGTACCGGTATTAATAGTAAAAATAGTACTAATTTAACTAATTAGTTTAACTTAGATTTTAGATTCTAGACTAAGTCTAAATAAAAATAAATCTAAGCTAGAAATGAAAGTAAAGAAACCTGCTAAATTTTAATCAATTTATTAAATATTAATATAATAATAGTAAGTACTAGTAGTATTAGTTAGTTTAGTTTAAGTTTAATATTAATCTTTCTTAGAAATAGTAATCAAAATGAGCAAAATGAAGTACAGGTAAACCTGAAAATAAGAATGCAACAAATAAACGAACGTGTCGGCTAGAAGCCAAGAAGCATTCATCAGCAAACAAACAACAGTAAAAACAGAATTATATAAAAATAACACCTAGCTGTAAATACCTAGAGGAAAGCAAGAGGACAAGAGGAATGTACAAAGACAAAATGTTTGTTGGGGGGGCCATCCATAAACGATGCCACTGTCACACAAATTTTGCCTATTCCCTGTGTCCGCTACTGTCCTTTACAAACCCTTAAGTAAGAAATTCCCCTCCCATGGATAGCAAATAACTGCACCTGTGTCAGAAACATTTCACTGGAACAGTGGTTCTTAACCAGGGGAAAAATTAACTCCCCAGCCCTGAGGTGCGGAAGACTATAAAACTATTTGTTGCCATTGCTAGTTGTTGCTGAATTTTTAAAAAAATCAGTTTTCATGGACTTTGATTAGCAACAGAACATGTTTTTCTGGCGAATTTTATTAGGGCTAGGGCTTTACTTGTATCTGTAAATTTTTCCTTTAAAAAAAAAAAGTAATTGAAGAAAAAAAACTACGATACTAAATAATTTAATTATTTTCATATTTAAAATTTTATTACAATTTTTTATTTATACGGTTGGAGCGTGGGGAGGGGGGTGTTCAAAACAGAGTGGGCCTGCAGCGCTGCAAAAAGGTTAAGAATTACTGCCCTAGAGCATTCTCCCCCTCCCCGCCAACCATTTTTTCCGTTCCATCCCACTTTACTTGGTAGTCCTAAATCGATGACGCCCGTCTCCACATTTTAACATAATTACATAAATTCGCTTGACTGTCAGTGTAACTACGGCCATTTGCTCCTCCTCGGTGCTAACTTGATCAGAAGCCATTTTTCCAACCTTGCATACCTGTACTGATTTTCTCAGTGATCGTAGTTTACAAATAAAATATTTATAATTGTATAAAAGAATAATTTTAAAAATGTTTGTAATTTAGGGTTATTAAGTGTAACTCTTTACTATAATATTATGCTTTTCATGTGACATCACATTGCTTAATTCCCCCCCCCCCCTCATCTAACACATCATCACTAAAATCTGATTCCCCCCAGATGCGTGACATCATTTATAAATGGCCCCTTGATACAACAAAACTCATGAAAACATATCCTTTTTGAATATTTATAATTGTATAAAAGAATAATTTTAAAAATGTTTGTAATTTAGGGTTATTAAGTGTAACTCTTTACTATAATTTTATGCTTTTCATGTGACATCACATTGCTTAATTCCCCCCCCCCCTCATCTAACACATCATCACTAAAATCTGATTCCCCCCAGATGCGTGACATCATTTATAAATGGCCCCTTGATACAACAAAACTCATGAAAACATATCCTTTTTGTATTTGTAAAAAATTTATTATTTGTTTAGTTTAATAATAAAATTGATCTGTGGGATTGTAATTTATGAATAGTAAAAGAAAAATATGTGTTAGTTTCAGAGTTCCCTCAGGTTCCTGAAACTCCAGGATGTCCTGGAAATCTCCTTGAATTAGATAACTTGAAAAAATCCTGGAAACTCCTTAAATTATAAAATTTCTCAGTAAAAGTCCTGACATTTTTTTCCCACATAGGAAAGGGTAAAAAATTCTTATATACTCAATTAGTCGTCTATTTTTAGCCCTTCTATTATCCCCTTAACTGCGCATGCAGTTTACAAGTTACTATTTGACATTTTGACAGACCATAATTTTGTGTGTGTTTAGTTTGCGGTTCAAATAGGCAGGAACAAGAGAGTGAGGCTGATGACTTGAGCAATTCCCCTCACTTTAAACAAAATACAGCTAAAGTCAAGGCTACTACTCAAGTCTTGGTCAGCTTCACGTGCAAAGAACAAACAAAAATACTAAAAAAAATTCTATCAAGTATATTTGCAGGACAATACTGGGGTGTCATTTCGAGGGAAAATGATTGATAAGTGTCATTCATCTGAGACCATGTCCAGGTTAACTTAAACTATTTCACCTAACTTTGGTGTCCACTTCTGCAACTTCTTACTCAAGCTCCAAAGTTATCTGATCCATCCACCACTTCCTTCCACTCAGACTTAATTGATGATTTTCTTTTCTATGTTTGGATTCCCAGCTGCTGTAGATCTTTTTCCACATCATTCATCCATCTAAGCCATGGGTCTGCCTTTGAGTCGTTTTCCTCTGGGGTTTTGGTGGTGCACCCTCTTTACCCCTCTGTCATTTGCCATTCTTTGTGTCCTGCCCAACATAGCCTAAGCTTTTTTTTTATTTCTGCTACTAGCGTTGGGAGCCTGATACAGACTATAACACTCCTGGTTGGCTCATATTCTCCATCCATATTCATCCTTTGTTGGAACACATTTTTTCCGGAGAGCTTTTCTCTAACATGTGTTTAATCGGTTTTCTGCCGTTTGTACAACTGGTCTGATTACAGTTTTATAAATAGTTTTCTTTGTTTTTCTTGTAATGTTTTTACTTTTTTTGTATTTTCTGACTACTGAAGTATATCCTGTTTCCGGCTGATATTCTTGCTTTTATTTCTGTTAGTAATTTGTTTCTTTCATTTAATCAAGAACCTAGGTATTCAAATTAATTTGCCTTTTCAAAAGTGTGGTATTTAATTTTTAAAGATTAAATCTGTCTGTTCTTCTCTAAACATAGTCACATTTTATTATTTTTTTATTGTAAACTTCCAGCCCTGCTTGTAATGATGCGTCTTCTAATTCAAAACAAAGCTTTTGATATGTCTTTACTACTTTTCCTATAATTTGTTCACCATTTAATATTCAATGTTATCACACATGACTTGAATATGTTCCTCAATTGTGTTATCTGCCAAGGCCAAAGGGATTGTAATAACGACTTTCTGAAAATATCACAGTAAAATTCTTCAGGATGGTTTCGGCAATATTGTGTGCATTCTTGTTTTTAGCAAGTTCTTATTTTTTCAATAGTACAAATACTTTGTCAAGCATGGTTATTGATGTGTAATTGTACAGTGTTGTGTGTTATTTTGTATTGTGTATCTTGAGGTTAGTTTCATTGATGGAGTTTCTTGTCAATATGAGATTTCTGACATATTTGTAATGTGATTTTTATGTATCTTTGACATAGTGTCTGGACTTTCTTGAGTACACACTATTGTTTGCAAGTTACTGTCTCAGCTGTGAGGGTGAAAGTTGGATTGCGTTCTTCTAGCAAGCTGCAATTAGTATGTTTGAATTATTATATGAACAGATGATACTAACTTGGATTAAGATTAAAAGTACTTCTTGGAATATGACCTTTGTTCAGTTTTAATGTGATTATGATGGGAACGAATTTGTCTAGCAAAACCTAATCATACCAACGTATTAATCTTAATTTAAAACAAAAGATTATTTATGTAACATACTTTCATTTGCAAGTATATCTCCGCAACATAAACACTGGGGATAAGGATTGTTTTCATGACCAGAAAATATGAACCAAAGTTTTGAACAATTTTTACTGTATAATCGAGGCTTGAAAACGTTATCTCCACCATCTTTTCTTAATTAAAAACTTAACCATTATATGTGTAATTTAAATCCAATTTGATTTATAAACTGCAAATAAAAATTTTAAAAAGTAAGTTAAGTTTGCCTATTAACATATTTAAACATATAATGTCTTAAGAAAAGCAGATCATTGAGCCGAAGCTCATCAGGCCTTCCCCAAAGTACCCCTTTTACCCCCCAACCCGAATAGCATAATTTTCGGGCCTCTAGAGACAGCCCCACCCGCCATCCACTCGATTGCCAGTGGGGCCTTATCAACCAAGGAGCACCTGGTCAGTGGGTAGTACTGCTGTCACACCACCAGCAATCAAACATTTTAATACTGGGATGGATTTATTTAACATCCCAAAAACACCCTTCCCAACCCTTTGTGGCATCAGACGCCCTCTATCTGGGTTTTTACAAATGGTTTTCTACCTTGTGAATATGTCACTAAGCAGTTGGCATGAGTTGGTTGCACAGGAACTCTCAAAACATTCCCATCAATAGAATCATTGGCATGGGTTGCCAGAACACCCCCCCGCCTCATATCCAATAGCGGCAACTAGTAATCATCAATTTAAATATCATAATCTTTGCATTGACAATAATGATGTGTCAGAATAATTCTGCGTTGTACTCCTAGAGAAGTCAGAGAAACTGATACCAAGCGCTAAGTTAAATTTTAGATAATGCGAAACCAAACAAAATTGAAGACTGTACACAATACGACAAACCCATTTTTGAAGTCATAAAATGCGCTTAACCATGTCATTTTTACCATTAAAACACTTAAGCTATTCAAAGGCTAAACACAATTTCTGTTTTTCTATAAAATAAAATTAGGGGATCCTGTTTAAAATTGCATGATCCATAATGCCTGATCGGCTCATTTAATACTATAAAATGCGTCAATGTCTTCATGAGCATAGTAATACTATGGTTTCTTTTTTCACGACACACCTAAAGTCTATAGGTGACACACTATTGTGTCATGACACACAGTTTGGAAAGCACTGGTCTACAATAACATCATATTTTTTTAGTTCATCAGTTATTCAGTGTCATTTGAATTTAATTAGAATGGAAAGTTTCTTTTAAATGCATTTTATATAAACTTTGTCATTCATCGGGTTTAGGTTATCATTTGAATAATTCTACGTGAGGATCAGGAAAGTTATCATACACATTGTTTAGGTCAACAATTAACCTTACGATGTTCATTACGGTTCTTAACAAAGTAACGTCACTATGTGTAGTTAGGTGGAAACAACTCTTGTCAAAACCTGTACTGCTAACTAAACATATATCAAATGAAATTTAAAAAATAAGTTCATCGTTGAAATACCAGTGTGCCATTCATTTCAATTATGTTGTCATTTCACTTACATTTCAATAACTCTTTGAGCAGCTTCACCGAGACTCCTCCCCCCACTAAACTAAGCGAAATAACAAAAGTCTTGGGAATAAGAACGCCAGAAAATAAAAAAAAATTCTAGGCATAGCCTGTACTTTAGCCATAAATTTTGGCTTAGGTATCATTTTTCTAATTTGAAGGAGGGAGAAATGTATCGGAGACAACGATCTACAATCTGGATCCGCTTTAGGGTTATCTGTTAAGTTACTAAATTAATATTTTCATAAAGAGGCCAAATGACTAGTCTAGCCAAGTAAGAATCATAATTTTGTTGACTGAGTCATGAAAGGGTCTTGAAAAGGTGTATTTAACTAAGTTAATATTATATTTGTTCTTCATTGTCTTCATTTTCTTTTCCCTTTGACTCTATAACTGTTTAGGTCTGCTGGTACATATCCTCAACTCAAGAATAAAGACGAACTGTTGATTCAAGTTCATAAAAAAATGGACTATAACCAAGGGATTTCAACAGACATGTTCCAGTCTCTTTATTCATCCTTAGAAAAATTTGGTGGGCTTTGCTTAGATATCGCTTTAAAGTTACACATGTGTTGTTTAAACATTTTATTTTCTTACCTACCAGGTTAATTGTTATAGAATTAAAAGTCATAGGAATGTTGTAGTGTATAGTGAGGAAAATGCCGTATAAATACCATATTTATAGCACATACCAATACCATGTTAATAATTTTGGTGCTTAATGCATTAATCGTTATTTTTTAAAGCCTAAAAATGAAGAGTAGTAATTAAATACATAATCAAATTTTGCATCATCAGACAACTTGACAGAAAATGATATGGGTGTGCTTCTGCATATTTGTAGTATTGGACCATATGATTCACCAACAGCAAATAGATTAGCCTTAGTTGATAAAATATGGAGCAGCCTAGATGCTTTTGGTGAGTGTTTGAAATCATAGAAAATTAAATTGTACATGTACAATGTCACCTTGTAAAAAAAATTTCTTAACTTAAACATTTCCTTTTATTAAGTTTTATGTTCCAAAAAACTCAAACTTTTTATAAGGCAGTTTTTATTTGATAAATTTATTGGTGTTTTTGTTTTTAGAATTAACAACAGTATCTTTTAGGAAAATGTAACAAACTTATTGACCCTAATTGATAAAATATTTCAAATTGAGCAAAGGCTACTTGTTTTTAGTTTAAATTTTTCTTTGTTTCAGGTGTAAAGCCTACTACAAAACTTTATAATGTCAAACTTAAGACTTACTGTGCCAATAAAAAGATGTTCAATCCCTTAGATGAATTGATGACAATGAAATCTTTAGGGTTGAATCCTGACAAGGTGATGAATATTTTTTTAAAGTTTAAGCCATGTTATTTAAATTTTATATTAACAATGGACAGTTCGGCCTCTAGAGTTACACGGTAATCCAAAAGACTGTATTTAATTTTTTGGGGTTACTTTTGTAATATTTACTCACATTCCCTCTTTCCTTTGCTAAGTCGCAGTTAGCCATAGACTGACAGACATTACTATTTATTTAGCGCCAAATAATTATATAATTTTGTTAGTTATTTGTACATTATTTCCAATAGGTTACGTATGGTCTACTTGTTGAAGGATTCTGTCAAAGAGGTGACATAGCAGGTGCCAAGTAAGTGATATTTTAATAAATATTCTACATTCAAGACATAAACCTATTGAATCTATAGTTAGTTTTTTTAGTAATTACTAAGAAACTACATTTTATTGGACAACTAATAAATTAAGCAAAAATTGTTACTAAAACCATACTAAAATTGTTTTGTAAAAGTTTGCTAACTTAAAATCTTAGGTACTGTGCATTTCATTATTTGGACCAAATATGTGTGGAAAGTTGAAGTACATGTGCCAAATACGCACCATTATTTTGCTATTTGTGGACTTTTATAAATCACATTTACTGTTCTATTCCCATTACAAATCTTAACATTATGAGGTAGAATATTATTGAGCCAAATGAAGATGGCTTCTATTGCTTTTTCTGTTGAATTACTCCAAGAAATGATATATATGGTATGTGTCCCATATTCAGCCCTATTTTTTGGTCTTTGGAATAAACATATATTTTTTGTGTTTAGTTTGCGTGAGATTTTAGTAGCAAGAGTTCTGTTCACATGAAAATGAATTAAGAACTCTGATCTCTTATTTCATAAGATCTGTTTTAATATTCTAGTACAGTGTTGGAAGCCATGCAGTCTTCAGATTATCTCCTTGGGTTAAACATCTTTAATTCCTTCATCACTGGTCATCTCAAAGCTGGGTAGGAAGGATTCTTTTTTACATAATTTGTTTTTTTTTGGGTCAAGTTCACATGTTAAAGGTTTAAATTTCATATTACTACCTTGCTGTTATTGTATTATTTGAATGTTGGGCTGACCCCCAAAAATAGCTACATTACAACAAAAAATAGCTATAATATCATTCATCCATGTTAAACATTATAGCAGATGCTGGTGTGTGTTAATGTATTCCATTAAGTTTCGACAGATGTATATTCATGTATTACAAAATTAAAAAATTATTCATATTTTAAGATGTATAATTTATTTTCAGTTCTCCAGAGGAAGCTGTAAAGGTACTGGAGCTTCTGAGGTACTAAATTTTGCCATTTATTTTATATTTACCTTGATGTAGATTTATGAGCTGTCCAAATAATTAGGCTGGTGACTCCTTAGAAGGATCTTTTGAAAATTTGACCATATCTTGAATAGTTTTATAGATTAAATAACACTTTTTATATTTTTCTTGATGATAGGTCCAAAGGGCTTGAACCAGATTCAGACACCTATTTAAGATATGCTCTACATTATGCTGAAGAAGGAGATATAGATTCTGTGATGAAGGTTGTTTTTTTTTTAAAAATAGTTTTTTCACAATTTCTTAGTCAACTATTCTTCTTTGTTGAGTAGCAATTTCATTGTACTTAAAATGTAATTTTGGATAAATATTTGGCACTAACTCTTCTCAACATTGACTATTTCCAGTACATAACCGAGGCTGACAGTGCTGGTGTGACACTACAGCAGAGTTTGTTGCTTGAGCTCTATAGAGTCATGAATACATCAGGTCATGGCAACAAAGCTGGACAAGTAAGTGTCAATATTGCCTTTAGGTTGAGCTTAATTATATATAAATCCCTTAATTTTTACTTGTTACTGATTATCATAAAGAATTTTTTTTTTTAATGTGGTTTAGAGAAAAAACTATCAAACAATTTAGGAAAACAAATAATTTTAAAAAGATATTTCCTCAAAAAAAAAAAAGATTCAGAAATTTAAACAATTATATTACTTTTCTTAGCTGCTGAAACATTTATCGGAAGGTGGTGTGTTCCATTTAGGTTGAGCTTAATTATATATAAATCCCTTAATTTTTACTTGTTACTGATTATCATAAAGAATTTTTTTTTTTTAATGTGGTTTAGAGAAAAAACTATCAAACAATTTAGGAAAACAAATAATTTTAAAAAGATATTTCCTCAAAAAAAAAAAAAGATTCAGAAATTTAAACAATTATATTACTTTTCTTAGCTGCTGAAACATTTATCGGAAGGTGGTGTGTTCCGTTCCAATGTGGTGCAGAAGTCCTGTCAACTCATATCTGAAGGTTATAATGACGCAGCCCTGGAACTCTACTTAACAATGCCAAGAGTAGAAGAAGGCATACTTGTATACAAAACAGGCAGCTTTTTGCTGAAGACCATGATCATTAATGGTCAGGTAAGTCAAAGGTCAATACTACCTCAACTGAAAACCATGGGGAGACAAAATATACATTTTTTTTCAAAAAGAGTCTGAGCAGGCTTTGATATTGGAAATTTGTTAACACTTAACCATTTAACTTATATATTTCACTTCCATTGTAAATTTCACTTCTTTTATACTTTACTCACAGGGATCGGAAGAGGTGATGAGCATGGCAGATAAGATATTAGAGCTCTATCCTGGAAATTTGTGCCTTAAAAATGCATTACTCTATGCATACAAAGCCAAGAGAACTGGTTAGTAAATGTCACAATTAATATAACACAATTTTAATTTTTGTTAGAAAATCAATGCCATTAATTTAATATATTTAAAAATTGCAAATGTAAGAAACATTATCCTGTAATCAAAAAGTAAATGTATGCAATAAAAAATTTTTAAAGAAAATTACTCTTTACAGATAAAAATGATCACAAATAACTTTTGATCTTTTAATCTTGTATATTAAAGCATATTCCATTGTATTTGCAAAAACTTTTATGTTTGCGATGACCACCATTGTCCTTTATCTAGTTAGGATCAGAGTCTAGACAGACTTGTTTACATACAAAAGTTATCTTCTTCTATATTTTGAGGGACCACGATCAATGTATTGATTATTCTGGCTCCTATAATATATATATATATATATATATATATATATAATTATATATTTATTTCTAGAACTTGCAGTACAGTTGTTGGAATCTATGCATACCAAGGTAATGTTTATTCAAGGGGAACCCAATTGAAATCATCATATCTTTATTATATGGGGTTACTGAAAAATCAATTTACATAGCTTGTTAAGAGAGTATCTCTGTTAAAATGCTGGCCAAACCCAACCAGAACATTCAATCGAACATTGTCACACATCCGCAATAAGTGAAGCTACTATTATTACCATTATAGCATGGCCATTGCTAAAAATTTTGGAACATTTTTTAGTGAGTTTATTAAGAAAAAATACAGTGTAATACATATATGTATTTCTTGTACATTTAAAATGTTAATCCTACTTATGTTTTTTTTCTCCATTTTTTAAGAATCATAATATCAAAGTAGCTTATCTTCTGCCAGCCATCTGTGACTATAGAAAAAGCAACAACAAAGAAGGTAATGAAAATAAAACTTAATGTAGCTGAGTGGTGGTCACTAAAGTTATAAATATTTACCAACACTTTAAACATAACAGCTTTTATTTCAACTCTAGCTTATATACCTGTCTTCACCCGGGATTACATTTACTCATGTTTAACATAATGGCCTGGTCCATAATGTGTCATATAATTTATTACGGAGTTCTATAAAAAAACTTTTGATAGATTTTCAAAGTAATTTTTAATAACTAAATCGTTGAAGGGACTGGTCCATAAAGTGCAACAGTTATCACACAAGGGGGAAGTTAACCTTTAATAGTTGTATCATATAAATCGTTTAATGAATTTGCCTTTTTGATTATTATTTGGGCTCCAGGTCTCATAGACTTAGCCTATGCCAAAGTTATCTTGTGCTGCTATTTCCTTCAGACAGCTTGAACGCAGTCATTAACATATTATTCTTTATCTTTTAAAAAGAGTGCCTTGTTGAAATCCTGTAGATAATTATTCAGGGTAAAATTTAAAATGTTAACAGCGGTTGAAAGTCCCAAGTGTTAACCATTGTAATTTGATTGAGAGCTCCCGTTAACTGCCAGGATCATAAGATGTCATTTAATTTATTACTTAATATGGGACCTATCGAAATCCTTAAACTTAAATAAGCTTTAAAAGATGAAAATTGTTTGAGTGGAACAGGTGGAGAGTAAAAACCACTAATTGTCATTTAATTTTTCACCTTATCAGAATTCTTTAATCATAAATTTTAGATTTTGTTAATTGTTTGACCAAGTCCAAAAGGTAACATTTAATTTATCACGTAAATGTTGGTCTTTTTCAGTTTCTTCCTATTGATATTTGGGTAATTTTTAAAAGTTTCAAATCATTCCGTTACGTGCCAAAATTATAAGTCAAAAAGAGGCTCTATTAAATAGCAATTAAATAAATATTCAAGGTAACTTGAAAAATTGTAAATAGGTTGAGATGCCCTGTAAAATGTCAGGTCAAGAAGATATCAAAGTTATCCCTTAAAATTAAAAGGGGCTCTTTCATAATCCATTTCATAAATATACTAGGTAACATTTTAAGTTGTAAATCGGTTTAGGGGTACCAATGTTAAAAGTTAAAAAATACTTTGGAGTTCCTGTATTTTTGATTCTATGATTAAATTTTTGAAAAGCAAAAAGCATATTTAGCTTTATTTTTATGAAACTCAAAGTAACTTTTAAAAGCTATAAATTGGTTGAGAGGCTAAGGTGAGGGTCCAAAAGGTGCCATTGAATCTATCACTTAGAAAGGTAGCCAATCTTGCTGAGATATGAAAGTTTAACTTAAACTGGTGTTTTCATGTTCTTTTCTGGTCATTTCTTTCTGTGCAGGCATTTATAAAACAGTTGGCATGCTGCTGGAGCTGACCAGTGGGGAGGACATGTATGAACAGTTGCTCCACTGTGCCTATCCAGCTCTCTCTGCAATAAATGAAAGCAGAGAGGACATTATTCTCAATTTCAAGGTAAATCAATCAACTCTGATTGGTCCTTTATTACTAGTTTGTTATGTTACAAATTTGGCACTTCTCATAATTAAAAAATAATTTCTGAGACATTTCTCAGGAAATAAACTGAACTAACGATGTTAACAGCTGTTGCAATCCTGTTATTTGTTTGAGTAACCCATCCTTCCAATTTAAGATGAATCTCAAATAGTTCCATTATCATATTTCTCAGTTTCTTTCATAACATAACACATCAGTTTACACAGCTTTGTTGTTCAAATTGTACTTACAGAATCATGAAAAAACTTGGAATACAGTATTTTTTTGCGCTGATCTTGTGGAGAAAGGTTTTAATGCTGCTTTCAAAAATGGTAATGGAGTAATCATTTAATATGTAACTGGTTTATATCCTATTTTCATATTTCTCTGTCATTGTGAAATATTCTTATTAACTTCTTATTGGGTTGTTAAATTAGTTATAATTATCAATAACACATTTCACCTAATATACTTTCAAATCTAAGCAAAAAATAACAATAACCATCAAATAAGGTGCCAGAAAAATACAGTAAAATGGGTGTGTCGTTCGGATCATGACAAAGACCCCATGACAACAGAACTTATTAAAAATGGAGAAACAGAGCTACACACTCAGACACATAAACTTATAACTAAAATCTGGCAAGATGAGAAATTTCCAACAGAATAGGAAACAACACTCATAACCCCAATACACAAGAGAGGTTCCAAACCTTCAATTCACAAACTACAAAGGAATTTCTCTATTAAATGTTTCATACAAAATACTGAAAAAACTAATTGGCAAGAGACTACAACAGTGTGCTAAACAAATGCTAGGTGACTACCAAGGTGGATTCAGGCTAAACAGATAATGACTGATCAGGTTTTCACCATTAGATGCCTATCAGAGAAATATTACGAATATATTATCCCAGTGTACTAACTCTATGTGGACTATAAAATGACTATCTGTATGAGACTCTGCATTAGTTTGGCAAACTGAAGAGACTGATACATATATCATTAAACTAAACAACTAAAAAATCAAGGTTCAAAGTGAATATTCAAGGAAATTTCAGATTAGACAAGACCCAAGACAAGGAGACTCACTGTCTTTTGTGCTGTTTAATCTAAAGATTGTAAAAAGCATACACTTTGACACCGAGGAACAATCACAGTTTCTGAGGGAAACTTAAGACCAACAACCAGAAGGCACTTTCTACAACCAACCCCTTCAATATCTTGCATATGCTGATAACATTGCACTGTTAAGGAACAGTAGTAAAGACATATCAAAAGCTTTTATTGAATTAGATGGCGCATCACTACCTGCTGGGCTGGAAGTTAACAACCAAAAAAGAAAATACATGGCAATGTTGAGAGAACTGAGAGATGAGAACATGAAAATTACGAACCACACTTTTGAAAAAGTAAATCATTTCAAATATTTTTGATCCTAAGAAATGAATTACTACACAAAATATGCAAGTGAAACTTTGACCCTAACAAAAGAAATGAATTACTACACAAAATATGCAAGTGAAACTTTGACCCTAACAAAATTGGCAGACAATCTATTATACACGTGGGAGAGAAAAGTTATCTTGAAAATATATGGACCAACAAAGGATTAATATGGATTTAGAATACGAACCAACCAGGAATTGTATGTACTATACCAGGATCCCTACTAGTAGCAGAAATAAAAAAGGGTAGGCTGCGCTGGTCGGACCACTTAAAAGAATGACAGAGGAGTGAAGAGGGTGCACCACCAAAACCCTAGAGGAAAACAGTTCAAAAGCAGACTGAGGCTTAGATGGATAAGATGTGGAAAAAGATCTACAGCAGTTGGGAACCCAAGCATGTAAAAGAAAAGCATTAATTAGGTCTGAGTGGAAGGAAGTGGTGAGGCAGGCCAAAACCCTGCATGGGCTTATCACTACAGTGATGAATGAACATATACATATTTATATAAAAATAAATGACAAATTAGTTAAGAACTAAAAAGAACAACCTATCAAAATAATTAAATATACAATTATTTTTACTCTTTTTCCATAAAAATTAAAATTTCACTATAGTAGCTTAAAAATAAATTAAATATTAGCTAAGAAAATATCTTTATGGTTTTGAAGTTGTTGTTGCAATTATTTCATCAATTTTATTAGGATTCTTGTCTTATACTTTATCAAGACCCCATCCTATAGCAAAAAGTATGCAAAAAAATTTAAAATAATCTCTACTGCTATTTTTTCAATATTTATCTTTGTTATTTATGTCCTCTATTTATGATGCATTGTGATTATCTGCAGCTGAAGGCAAAGAACTAGCACCTTTAAATTCTATTCTGGTCTCCAGTTTGACCAGTGCAACCAAAAACTATTTGTTTCAAGAATGGGAGACTTGTGTTTCTGTAAGTACTGGGCTATTTATTTTACTTTTAAAATCCTTTCTATTAACTGCGCTTATATTCCTGGGTGGCAGGCAAACTCTTCGGACTGCTAATTGACCCACTTCACATCAACCTACTTAGCTGAAACTTAGCACACAGACATTTCCAATGACAACACATTTTTTTTAAATTTTCAGCTTTACCCTCCAACTCCATCCCCAAGAATAAGTTTTTCCTATTTTCAAGGGGAAGATGAAGGAAACATGATGCCTTTAAGTTCATGAAATAAACTTCGCCCTATCTGCGTTCAATGATATTCTTTAAAAAATAAATCGCAAGTGCATTTGGTTGTAATATTTTCTTTTGTTTTTCTCAAATAGTTGGTGAAATAAATCTGCTGTGTAAAAGCGGGTGGGACATTAGAATATTAATACAAGATAAAATAATAATAAATGCATATAAAGGATTTTTACAAAAAACTTTGTTTTTACGGGTTGTTAAATTTAGCTTTGATAACCATTGGTATCTCTGTGTTGTAAAATATCTTGTTAACATTTGTTTTACTTTCTATATCCTGTAATAGGCCTATTACTTTTAGACATTATATTAATGCAAATACCATACCAATATAACAATATATTTTTCATTCAGATATATTATTTTGAGGTTGCAATATATTAAACTAAGAGCATAAAGAGGGGAAAAAAGCCTAGATTCAATGTTTATTATGATGTTATAAATGTCATGTACAGTCTGTTATATGACTTACAATGTCATTGATCTAATAAGGCCATTTTGTTCTTTAGATATTGCACTGGTTGAATGGCCTCCCTGGTATTGATAAAACCATGATAAAGTACACTACTGGAGAATTTGTGAGGTATCTTGTCGTCAAAGAAAACTTTGATGTTGCTGGCAAATTTCTGGATGCTCTACAAAAAAAGGTTCAAAATTATAGATTCATTCAAATAAATTGCTAGATTCTTAAAAAATTTAGATTTTCACATATTTCAAAAATTTGATTTTAAAAATATGCTAAATTTGTAAAAATATAATAGAAATGTGAGTCATGTCTGGAAAGAATGGCTAATTTTAAATTAGGCATATCTGTCTTCTTTTTCTTTAATAAACTTGTAAGGAGTGAGGTTAGCCTTTATATGCTGTGCATTCAAGTTCTTTGAGTCTATGATAAATAAGGTAGCCATTTACTAGAGTTAAAGCTCCCAAAATAAATTCAATTCAATGGAAATAAACAGAATTTAATTTAGTTAGATTAATTAGACACCAACAATTTGTGTCAATATTACAATATAATTTAAGCTTTAATAATAATTATACATAATACACAAGTAAACGTTTCGGCACATGCCTTCATCAGTACAACAACAAAACATTTAAATAAGTATAAATTAAATATACATAATATATATATACATGTATCCTACCTAAAAAATAGGAGGGGGCTTTTTGTCTGGTTTTTGCGGCCTCTCCTATTTTTTGAATTTTTTAAAAAATTTTTATATATTCAAATGCCCAATAGAGTGTTGTGCCACTGATGATGTTGATATTGTACATGTTACATGTTGATGGATATCATTTTTAAGTTTTATATTATTCCGATTTTTTTAAAGAAATGAATCATTTTTAACCTTTCTATTTTTTTATACAGCAACTTAAACTGATGTCTGGTTTTCCTACAATAAAAGTTCTTGACGGGATACCTAAAAATATCAAAGATGTAAGCATACTAGAAATGCATAATTCTTGGCAAGTTATAAGGTTTACCCAACATGATTGCTCTTGTAAAATGGTCTAGAATGGAAAAAAGCAATTTTTGGTAGATTGTCATTAAGATAAGTCATTAAAATAAACGTGAATATGGCTCTAATTCAGTTTTCCACTTTCAATAATTGTGCTAACTGGGGAAAAATTTTACAGATCATTTGGAATATGATGATCTTCTGTAAAAAAAAATTTGTGGCATAAATCTTCTATCAATGTTCTGTAATCTTTTATCTTCTTCAGAAAATACGTCAAGTTTGTTCTGTTCCAGTAAGTAATTTAAATTTTTTTTAAACAATTCTCTTCTTAAATAAATTTGAAATTTTTGTTTTCTTATTGCCATCAATTTTGGAATAAAAAATCAAATTTGTTCAGTTGTAAGTGCTCCTTCCTTGTTTTTTGCTTAAAACTAATTCATTATATTTTGATTTGTAGCATAATGGCCCCATTGAAGCAGTAGAGTATTTTGACTATAAAGAGTTTGATGAACTGACTAAAGAAACATTTGACAAAAGAAGAGCAAAAGTACACTCTAAGTCATTCTCTCCGTCCAATGAAGCAGTGGAGTATTTTGACTATAAAGAGTTTGATGAAATAACTAAAGAAAGATTTGGCAAAAGAGAAGAAAACGTACGCACCAATTCATTCTCTCCATCTATTGAACTTTTGAATAAAGCTATGGAAAACAATGTAAGTAAATTAATGTAGGTGCTTATAAAGTTAACATTTAAAGATATAAATTTATGTAATATAAAAATTTTATTTTAAAACATATTTTTAAACTATTGGAAATATGAAACTTAAAATGTACAGGTACAAATTTCACTTTTGTTTAAAACTGTGAAGTTCATTAAAGATTTAAAAAAATTAGAACATTTTAGATTTTTATTTTTTAAATGTGTGATATTCACAAAAAAAATTTGACCCCCCCCCCCCCACCCCATCATGTGAAACGAATTNGTGGTTTTGAATAGTGTAATATTAAAGAAGAACTTGTAAATAAAGAACTCTGTTATTTTCATATTCAATACTCTGTGTTATTGCTAATTATTAATTATAGTCATCAAGTGGGGTCGTGGACGAAGGCATTTGTTTGACATAATTGTTTACCTAGACAACAAGCAGGGCTTATCAATCTGCCCATTCAGTATCCACACTTACTGAGAGAGTTATTTGTACGAAGGAAGATCATAACATTTGGGGGCCCGTCCTGTTATGTGGAGGCGGTCATAACAGTCAGAAAGAAGAGATAAACCGCATTTGGATCTGACTTTTCTCTAACTCCCTGCCCGCTTTAGATTTAGTGTGGCAGAACTGTTACTTTAACTTAAAACACAGAAGGAAGGAATACCACCAATAGACTAATTTTTAACACAATTTGATCCTTTGCCATTGTCACATTTTCTAATAATACTTTAAATAAATTCAAATTAAGGTGCTCTACCCTGACACCTCCATGACCAAATGACATAATAGTTGTTGATTTAAGGATACATTCTTTTTAATTTGTTGAGAGCTTTGTGTTGATGTTTCCTCTTTCTTTACATCAGGACTTGGTACAGATTAAACAAAATCTTCAACAACTTGAAGCTACTGGATTTAAAATAAAACCTTTTCACTTGACTGCTCTGATCATAAAGTTTCTAAACTTAGGAGATGTTGAAAGCGCTACATCCTATTTTGAGCAACTGTGAGTTAACATTCATATAATAATAATAACATATTTACTTCCTCTTATTTAGAAACATTTAAAGTTATTGGTGTTCAGTATAGAAATATAATAGAAGCTATTTGTTTATGAGTAACTTTTGTATTTGAATTTTTTAGGAAAACCACATCAGAAGGGAAGTACAGCCAAATTGTACCTTTAAGATTTGGAGCAGAGTTGGTCAAGAAAGGAGATTTAGATGGTATGATTATCAGCTTGTTTTTTGTAAGAGCTTTGATGTCTAATTATTCTTAGACCAAACTTAATTAATGCTATTTTTTCATCTATTTCAAACTTCTCTTTTGTGTTGTAGGAGCTTTGAACATGATACAAATAGCAAGTAAGAGCCAGTTGCCCAAAGACAATGCCTGGAGCTATGCTATTTCTGAAGCTATCGAACAAATGTTGAAGAATTCCTCTACTATAATGGATGCTGAGAAATTGCACCAAGCTATTGTTAATTCTAACATTGTTAAGGACAATGAAGCTCTGAGGGTTCACCGTTGGTTTGTATCCAGAATAATATCAGAGTAAGTGTTGAAATGTAATATTCCTTTATAACTAAAGTAAGACAAATCCTTAATGTTACTGTTTATTTTATCTATGTCTGTGAGTTCTAGCTTTATGCTATTTTAAAAGATCATGAATAAAAAATTTTAAAACTGATTTTGACCAGACTGTTTGTTACGCACTGACTTGTATTGGGAGAAATTAATCTCCTATTTTAATTGGCTCGTTGTAAGCAGTGCCTAACAAAGGACGATACCATAGAATCAACAATATTAAAGATACGACCCAAAACAGTTACTAGTTACAATTAATTAAGATTTATTATGTCTTAAGATAATTACAAAATAAAATAAAATAAGATCTCGTACCGGTACACAGTTAATACAATTAGAAATAATGATGCCAATAAATAATGCGAAATAAACACATATAAGTAGGAGCACACAAGTACACAAAGAATAAAACACGCCTCGTAATGTTAAGAAAATCTATATGAAAAATCTCCGTCCGTCCGTGCCTGTCAATCCCTTATATAGGTGTAGAGTAAGGTGCTTCCAGAAGGGCTTATGACGTGTTGTTTACATATCTCGGGTTAAGGAGTACATTCCAGAAAGTACCCCGAGTCATTATACCCAATGCGTAATTGGAAGCCGATTGTAAACAAGATACTTCAAAGGCCTAAGCCACACCCCTTTGTGAACACAGCGTCTCATGCGGGGTCAATCAGAGGGCACGCACGAGAAATATGATGTAAACAAGCTCTCTGTAACACTGTTAGTCTCCTTTGATAAACTTTGACAGTTCCAGACATTTTCTCTATGAAATTTGATTATACAAGGTTTTACTTAAAAAGTATTTTAATTTATTTTAAGAGAGTTTTAAATTTGAATTCCATAAAGTGAGAATTATTGTTCTTGTGCTCTTAAGATAGGAAAACCTCTTTTTTTCTTCATGTTATTGGATTCTTCTGTTAATATAGAGATGATGATGATGAACTGATCCGACAGTTGAAGGCTCTACATGAAAAACATAAAGTCTTTCCAGCATTGGAAATGGTCTTGGAAAGGTTTATTTCAAAGAAAGATGTGGAGAAGTTAAAACAAGGTGAGAACAGGAGCAGAGAAATCTTCCCTTCCTTTTTTTTAAAGTTAGAATTTTAAAGGGTGCACCAGAAAAAAAAAAAATCAAAGCTGTAGCATTAAACTCCTCGTATCAGATAAGTGTTATTCTTAAACAATTTTTATCCATTGACACTGTTGACTTCATGAGAAGCACATCAAATTAAAAATGCTAACTCTGGCTTGGATGAAAAAAAAGCCACCAACTTTTATCACGTCACTAATTTTTTTAATTAACATCATTCTATGAGAATAGAAATGATGTTAACACAATATTATTAAGCATGTTATTTAGTGAGAAGCCTTTAATGTTAATTCTGTGGATTTAGTAAAGTCATCATTAGTAAAATTTATTTTTGAGCCACCATGTCCGATTTTATATTAACTTAGATATCATTTGATTGTCTTACAGTGATGGATTTGGGAATCGGTGTATTTGGTGCTAACTATTTCCACCACTGTTTGGCCATTAGCTTTATACGCTGTGGCTTGCCCAACAAGGCTGCTGTAATACTGCAGGTCAGAAAATTTAAAAAAAAAAAACGATCATCTATATATTTTTTATATTTATAAAATTTGTAATCAAGACAAGAATTGGGGTTGTTGGCTATAAAAATTAAATAGTCTGTCATTTACTCATTTTTAATTTGTTGCTTTTTTGTTGGTAGCCTTTGCTCTTGATACTTTTTTTTAAAAACCACTAATTCCTATTTTCAGACTCCTGGCCTCAAGCTCAACCAGAATTATATCCTAGATAGTTGTCAATATTTTATTAAAGCAAAAAAGGTCAGTTAAAAATTTAAGGTCTTATTACAACCAGGATCGTGCATTCAGGAGTCGGTAAATTTTTTATTTTAAAAAAAAATTACAGACGCCTAATTTAATATTACAATTTTTATTCCAATTATTAATTTTTAAAAATAAAGTTTGGGATCTTGATATTAATTTCAGATAGATTGTTTATCAGCTTTGGTTGACATAACAAAGTCTATGCCAATCAGTAGATCAGCGCTGTTACAACAACTGGCCCAAGGTTATAGTAAGTATACATTACCCGGTAAACTAAAACTCCCCACACAGAGCCTGAAGTGGAGTGATTATTTTTATTTGATTTAATCATTTCTATAGTGTTTAAAATTCTCAAACATTGTTTGAACCCAGTTAAAATAAGATCCATGGTTTTAACGTTCTGTACTCCTCAGTTGCTGTCGGTGACCTTAAAAAAGCCACAGATGTTTTACAGCAGTTCACTGAAGACTTTTCCAAACCACCCAAACCATTATTACAGCAGCTTGTCATTGCTCACAGAAATGCCAATGTCCCACTCCCTGAGCTGCTTCAAGTTTTCCTAAAAGATCTTAAGCCCAATGTAAGCACTGTCATCATTTATTTTAAATATTATTACTAGGGCTGACTGGGTGCGTTTTTTTTTAAAACCGGTGAGTTCAAGTGTTAAAAGAAAATGGTCAACTTTTCATTTTCTATAAATTTAATACATGCCAGCCTTCAAATAATAGGCCTGCAGACAGTCCTACACATTACCTGCTGACCTTTAAACAATAGGCCTGCCAGTCTACACCCTACCTGCCGAAAACAATAGTCATGCAGACAGTCCTACACCCTACCTGCATGCCTTTAAACAATAGGCCTTCAGATAGTCCTACACCATACCCATGACTCTATTGATTGATATAATGGTCGCCTCCGAAAAAATTCAACCGACACGCATGACACTCGCTGCTCAACAGCTTTTTTTTCCTCTCTGCACTATTAATGTATAACATTTTGAGTAGTGGGAGGGCCAGTTGTGAAAAGGAAGCAGCCATACCAGAAGCAAAATAAATATAAATATTAGGGTCAAGCCCTGAGAACTGGAGGACTGCATTCATTCATCCTGTGGTGCTACAGCCCATGTAGGGCTTTGGCCTGCCTCACTACTTCCTCCTACTCAGACCTAACTAATGCTTTTCTTTTACATGCTTGGATTCCCAGCTGCTGTAGATCTTTTTCCACATCATCCATCCATCTAAGCATAGAGCTGTTTTTCTGGGGTTTTGGTGATGTACCCTTTTCACTCCTCTGTCAGTTTGCACTATTTCTAAGTGTCCTGCCTAGCATAGCCTACCCTTTTTTATTTCTGCAACTAACGTGGGATCCTGATATAGACTAGTCTATACAATTCCTGATTGGTTTTTATTCTCTATCCAGATTCATCCTTTGTCAGTCCATATATTTTCCGGAAAACTTTTCTCTCCTTTGTAATAGGTTTTCTACCATTTTTGTTAGGGTCCAAGTTTCTCTTGCATATGTTACAACTGTCTGATTAAAGTTTTGTAAACAGTTTTATGTTTGTCTTGTATTGTTTTTACTTTTGAGTTTTTTTCCCGACTTCTGAAGTATGCCCTGTACAAAAGTATTGCAGGAAACCCTTGCTAAAGGGTCACCAGATGGTACTATTGACTCTAAGTGGACTCATTTGTGTGATGCTGTGTACAATTCAGCTATGTCCGCCTACAGTAAAATGTAGCATAAAAATAATGACTGGTACGAGGCACATTGGAATGTGATGGAACCTGTAACCGAGAAGAAGAGATGAGCTCTACTTGTCCGCACACTTCAAAAATATCAACACTCAAGTCCAAGACAGGTCAAATTATCCAGAACCCAAGCAATCAACTGCGACGTTGGGTAGAGCATTATCTTGAACTATACGCAACAATGAATGTAGTCACTGAGAGCGCTCTGAATAATATTCTCGTCTTGTCAATAATGGAAGAACTAGATGAAGAGCCAACTACGCAGGAGCTCGAAAAGGCAATTGATTACCTTGCTGATGGGAAGGCACCAGGGATTGACAGCATTCCACCGGAAGTCCTCAAAAAGGGGACAACAATACTACATCAGCTCCTCTGTCTGTGTTGGGTAGTAGGTCACATTAACCAGGACATAAGAGACGCCAACATTGTAACATTGTCCAAAAATAAAGGGGACAGAAGTGATGGTAATGAATACCGAGAAATTTACTCTCCTTGACTTAGTTAGAAAGACTTTTGCCCTTGTTACCCTTAAATGATTGCAGAGTCTGGCTAACCGCATCTTCCCAGATTCCCAGTGTGGCTTCCAGAGTGGGTGCTCAACTATAGACATGATATTCTCATTACGCCAAATGCAGGAGAAGTGTCATGAACAGCATATGCCTCTTTATATTGCTTTCATAGATCTGACAAAGGCTTTTGACTTGTTAAGTTGGAGAGACCTGTTCAGTATCTTGCAAAGAATAGGTTGTCCCCCACGACTGCTCACAATCATACAGTCATTTCACAAAAACATGCACAGCACAGTATCCTTCAATGGCATTCCCAGTGAACAGCAGAGTAAAACAGGGTTGTGCACTGGCACCAATGCTCTTCTCCATTTTCATCTCGCTGCTCCTACAATTTACCTTCAGGGACTGTGAAGATGGAGTCTACATCCATACCAGATTTGATGGTAGGCTGTTCATTATCGCCCACCTTCGTTTTGCACCAAGGTAAAAAAGGTACTAATTCATGAGCTGTTGTTTGCTGACGATGCGGCCTTAACATCTCACACAGAAGGCGGTCTTCAGGGACTGGTTAATCGTCTATCACACGCTTGTAAAGAGTCCCCTCCAATCATATCTATTGAGGCCTGAGGGCCATAACCTGTCAGTTGTTGAGCATTTCACATACATTGGATCCAATATTTCTAGTTCTCTCTCCTTTGATGAAGAGATAAAAATCAGGATCGCAAAAGCAGCAGCAATTATGGCTAAACTGAATAAGCGGGTGTTGAATAATATCAACTAACTGAAAAAACAAAACTAAGTGTCTATCAGGCATGTGTGCTTAGTATGCTCCTATATGGCAGTGGAGTGTGGACCACATATACCAGTCTTGAGCGGAAACTCAACAGCTTCCATCAAAGATGTCTGCGTCGTATTTTACGCATTTGATGGCAGGGCAAGGTGCCTAACGCAGAGGTCTAAGAACGTGCAAAAATGTTTAGCATATTCTTTGCTCTTAGCAAGAGGCACCTTTGCTGGTTAGGAAAGCCATACTCCACGTATCAATACCTTCTGCATGAAAGACCCTGCGCTAACGCAGCTGTTCACAGACAAGGTGAAAGAAGGTATCTCAAGGATGTCCCCATGCGTCACCATTGACACGAAATGGACGCATCTCAGAGACACAATCTATACATCCGCAATACAGGCCTTTGGCAAAAAATCTCACAAAAACACGGACTGGTTCGATGAACATTGGGACGAGATGAAACCTGTCACTGAAGCCAAAAGGAAAGCTCTTACGGCTTACAAGGAAAAGCCTACACCCGACAGGTTGCATGCCTTAAAAACAGCCAAGTCACTTGCCCAAAAGGTTGCACGTAATTGCGCCAATACCTACTGGCTTAACCTCTGTTCCAGCATACAGTCAGCTGCAGATATGGGCGATGCAAAAGCAATGTACGAAAACATCAAAAAGGCAACTGGCCCCTTGACGTCCAAAGTTGCTCCTCTGAAGTCCAAAAATGGAGAAATTATCCAAGACCGGGCAGCACAGCTAAAACGGTGGGTTGAGCATTATCTGGAATTGTATTCAACAGTTACCACAGTCTCCAGCACTGCTCTAGATGACATACCAGATATGCCACTCATGGAAGAACTTGATGTCGTGCCCTCACAGGAAGAGCTGAGCAAAGCTATTGATAGCCTAGCTTGTGGAAAAGCGCCTGGGGATGATGGAATACCACCAGAGGCTCTAAAGAGTGGTAAGATAGCTTTACTCCAACCATTGCACGAGATTCTGTCCCTCTGCTGGGAACAGGGCTACATCCCCCAAGACCTAAAGGATGCAAATATAGTGACACTATATAAAAACAAAGGTGATAGGAGTGATTGCAATAATTATCGCGGCATTTCACTCCTTAGTATTGTAGGAAAGGCCTTTGCCCGTGTCATACTAACACGTTTACAGAGTCTAGCATCCCGTGTCTATCCAGAATCTCAGTGCGGTTTCCGGTCTGGGCGGTCTACCATAGACATGGTGTTCTCCATACGACAGCTCCATGAAAAATGCAGAGAGCAGCAGATGCCACTGTACATTGCCTTTGTGGACCTTACAAAAGCCTTTGATTACGTCAGTCGCAACGGGCTATTCAAAATACTGGCAAAAATCGGCTGTCCCCCTCACCTACTTGCCATCATCAGAGAGTTCCATGAAAATATGCAGGGTACAGTGCAGTTCGATGGAGCCAAGTCAGAAGCCTTTCCAGTCAGCAGCGGAGTTAAACAAGGTTGTGTACTCGCACCAACACTGTTCGCAATATTCTTCTCTGTACTACTTCGATACGCATTCAAGGATAGCAGTGAGGGAATCTGGTTACACACCAGAGCTGATGGAGGACTTTTCAACACTGCCCGCCTCCGAGCCAAGACCAAAACGACAGATGTCCTAATTCGCGAGCTACTATTTGCGGATGATGCGGCACTAACAGCACACACAGAAATTGGTTTGCAACAACTCGTGTCAAGCTTCTCCAATGCCTGCAAAGAATTTGGTCTGCAAATCAGCTTGAAAAAGACAAACATCATGGCCCAAGACACTTGACCTCCACCTAACATAAAAATCGATAATGAAAACTTGGAGGTTGTGGACAGCTTCACCTACTTGGGGTCCAAGGTCTCCAATACACTGTCCATTGAAGAAGAAATTAACAGCAGAATCGGCAAGGCAGCTGCCACAATGGCTAAACTAAATAAACGGGTCTGGAAAAACACCAAGCTAACGGAGAAAACCAAACTGTGCGTCTATCGAGCTTGTGTCATCAGTACACTACTATACGGGAGCGAGACATGGACCACCTATACATCCCAAGAGCGCAAGCTTAATATCTTCCATATGAGATGCCTGCGTCGCATCCTTGGTATTAAATGGCAAGAAAAAGTGACTAATAGTGAGGTCCTAATGCGTGCGAATACCCAAGGCATGTTCACAATCCTTAGTGAAAGACGCCTGAGATGGCTAGGTCATGTTAAAAGAATGAGTCCCGGCCGCATTCCGAAAGACCTCCTATATGGTGAACTTGCTTCTGGAAAGAGGAAAACAGGTCGCCCACGTCTGCGATTTAAAGATGTCTGTCAAAGGGACATGAAAGCAGCCAAAATACATACAAGTGACTGGGAGTGTAAGGCAAAAGACCGATCTACGTGGCGCACAGTTGTCAAAGAGGGCGTCATGGTAGCCGAGGAGCGAAGAATGGAAGAGGCTGCAGACAGAAGAGCTAGGAGAAATGCCAAAACATTTGGAAGCACGGAACTCGTGTGTAAAAACTGTGGTAAAGACTGTCACTCAAGGATAGGACTGCACAGCCACTCGAGAAAATGCAACCCAACCCAACGGTGATGCACCATCGTCTCACGAGACGGACGGATGCCGATAAGAACTGCAAAGATGATGATGTATGGAGAGTTGGCAGAAGGGACAAGACTTGTTGGACGGCCACGCTTGAGATTTAAGAACGTTTGCAAAAGTAGCATGAGAGAAGCCAACATTGATCTCAACAAATGGGAGTTCATTGCCAAAGAACGTTCCAGCTGGCGAACAGCAGTATATTAGGGGTGTGCCGGATCCGTTTTTTCCAACCGGATCCGGATTTTCTTATGCGAAATCCGCCGGATTTGGATCCGGATTCCGGAATAATCCGGATTCCGGTTTCTCCCGGATTCCGGATTTTGGTACTTTGCAGATACCGCTAAATCTGAGGGGTTGGATGCCTTCTGAACAGTTGGCACTATCATGTATGGGATTGGGAATTGGCCACTATTAGCGGTGCTGACTCTAGCCTCTGGTATGTTCGGAATATTAAACATTAAACAAGCTCAATGCTCGAAACAATCGATTAATGTATCGTGATCGTGTGGAATTCGGGAAAGAGAATTACTTTTATTTCAGATTATGATCCGGCAGACCTGTTTACCCTCAAACCCCTAAAATCGTACAATCTGGTCTCAAAATCGTACAATACAATATCTCTATAGTAAATAAATAAAACTACAAAATATTTCCATATATTTTGTAAATGTCGCCGACTGGATCTTATAAAATACCGCTATGCCAAAATCCAACGCTCCACTGCAGAACAGTTGGATCATCTATTTTATTTTAAAAACCAGCTCTATTTTTACAATCGCCGCGGTTCTGAGGAACAAAATAATTATGTACCAAAACTACGTCACACGCTTGGTAGCAGTCAAAGGCGATGGCGGGTGAAGAAGTCTAAATATTACTGTTGACGCAGCCAGCTAGTTCACTGTGATCCCGTCAATACGATACGTCGGTTTTTTTTATTTATATCCTTTGACACTCCCACCAATCCCCTACCCATGCGTGTCTCCTATGCCACAATTTCCGTCATCAACAACCCCACCTCCCCAGTCCCCATGAGTGCTTTCGAAATATAATAAGGATGGTCCCAACTTTAAAAAAAAAAAAATCCAACCAATCGTTTTTCTAGTTCATATTCACTGCCAGATCTTCATTAGAGAGGGCTAAAACGTCCAAACCCGAAAATTTATTAATTTTTTAAATCTGGGAAAAAATTTTTTCCACCGGGTCTCTGAAAATCGTAGTTTTGGAGGGTCTTGCCGTACAATCATAAAAGACATCTAAAAATCGTACATTGTACGCCAAAATCGTAAGAGTAAACAGGTCTGGATCCGGTGAGTCACAAAATCTGGCAAATTCCGAAATCCGGTATATTCCGGATTCCGGTTGTTCCGGATACATGTAAATCCGGCAGAACCGGATTTCACCGGACAGTGCAAAATCCGGCGGAATCGGATTCCGAACCGGATTCCGGCACACCCCTACAGTATATGAAGGGAAAAAAGGCAGAAGATGCGCGAAAAGAAGCCCTCTGCAACAAAAAGTACAATACGGAATAAAAAACATAACCAGGATTCAATATTCTCCTGCGAGAAATGCAGTCAAAATTGTCATTCCAGGATTGGCCTAGCGAGCCACTCGTCGAAGTGTAGGACTACATAGCTACTCCATTGTCTAGCAAAGACGGAAGGATGCCATATATACATACTTTTTCAAAAGTGTGGTTTGTAATTTTAATGTTCTCATCTGTCTGTTATTCTCTTATCATAGTCATGTATTTTTTTTTTGGTTGTTAACTTCCAGCCCCACGTGTAGTGATGCGTCTTCTAATTCAATAATGTCTTTACTACTTTTCCTTAACAGTGCTATGTCATCAGCATATGCAAGATACTAAATTATTACATCAAGAAATGGCGTCAGCGGGGCGAGTTTGCACTCTTTATGCCCCCCCCAAATTACCCCTCCCTGGTCCAACGTATCGGAGCGGAGCGGCACATTGGAGATGCCCACTCGTCAGGACGGCCCCCACCCGGGCGCTCGCCTGGGGGCCGCCCCAACCAGTAGGCATCCGGTCCGTCCGACACTATGTGTTTAAACAGTGCTCTCGATCGACTTTCTTATGGAGTTGGGATGGAAAATTTACGTCCTAATATCTTCCCCCACCCATCCTGGGAAAGCGTCGGACGCCCTATAAGAGGGATTCCACAGTGGGTTTCCACAACGCAACTAGCTCGCGCTGTAGCTGGGACGAAACGGTTGCCTAGGGACAGCTTTCTCAAGGCTGCATTGTTTGAATCCTCGGCCAGAGGTTACCACCCTCGCCTCTGTCCTCATACCCGTCACCGGCAACTTGTAATCATGATCCCTACCCTGGCTCTGCCTAATTTTCCGGCTGTGAAGTATCACAACTGGCAGCCCTGTGGGAACTGTTTTATGTATGGCAGGTACCAAGCACACCCTTTGTCTGCCCACGCGAGGCGTGCCCAGTAGTTCTGTTCCCCGGCAAACGCCGAGGGGGTCGGTGGCAGACGCTTCCTAATCGACAGGCCACAACAGACTTGCCAACCGGAAACCGGGGTCTGCCAACCAGAAACTGCAAGATACTGAGGGGGTTGATTGTAAAGGGCCCTTAAGATATAGAAGAATAAGAAGAAGAGTGCCCATTGTTTGTATGTCTTTGGTTTCCCTCAGAGAGTATCCTGGTATAGTTCCTCGGGTGTCAATATGTATGTCTCTTGTAACTCTCTTTAATGTTAGGTTAAAATAGCGCATTAGCAGGCAAAATTTAGAAATGTTGGTAGGTTGGATAGAATCTGCTTCTTCCATATTTTGGGGGCCCACGATCAATTTATTGATCATTCTGGCTATTCTTAGGAACAGTATGCCGAAAGCCTTCCGTTAATTGTGATCATTTTTCTTTCAATTTCTAGAATAAAGGTAGACCAGATGTGTCCTCAGATGTTTCAAAGCCTGCATCGGACTTCACAGGTCAAGAAGATCAAAGTTCAACTGATGTTTCCAAGAGTGAAAAATCACCAGAATTAGATGACAATAAAAAATAACTGGGAATGTCCATTTCACCCTTATTTAAAAAAATTTTTTTTTTTTGCAAATCTACATTCAGAGGTATGCTAATAATTTTGCATGCATTCATTCTTCCAATAGTCTTTTTTTCTAACGTGATTACTATTTGAAGGAAAAAAAAAATTAAATATGTCTTTGAAATGTAAATGATGATCATTTGTTAAAGTTTATAGTGACTAGTGTTGTAATTGTTTTTATGGTTTCTAGTGTTGTAATTGTTGTAAATGATGCAAAATGAAACAGATAACCATATGTGATACCATTTTCATTTTGAAAAAAAAATAAAATATTCCTTAACCATTAGTTTCCAGATTTTTTCTTTACAGCTTTAAAAATGAATGTATTATTTGACAAAGCAACTGGGGCATTAGTGTAAGGATTTTGTATGCACATTTCCATTTGGCAAACAAAAAAACTCATATGATTATGATGTGAAATTTTAGTTTTTATGATGACCCAGCCAATTATCATGTCAATGGCGCTACAATTATAATATCTCATTTTCAAGCCAATTAATAAATAAATTCTTCAAATAAAGAAACATGTCTTTAACTTGAAAGATAATCTGCTTAATAAGAAGACATCTAACCAACTTAAGGTGATTATATTCTGAAATTTTTTATTTAAAATATCTTTTAGTGAATGCTGCTTACAAAACGTAATATTTATATACAATAAAAGAAGTTTGCAAATTTCTATTTTTTTTTTAATTCTAAAGAAGAAATATCTTATGTAAAAAAAAAAACACATCTGTACAATTTCATACATCTTTAGGATCTATTAATTGTATTTTGTTTGTCCCGTTTGCTGTTGCTTTCTGCCATTGGCGTGTTTTGAATCTCTCTTGAGCATGGTGGTATCTGCAAACACCCCTGATGTAAAGAAATAATAACCAGATAGTATCAATAATTTTTACATCCTTAGAACATTGATTAGAATATTTTCTATCACCACATAAACTCATAATTATAAGCATGTTCCTTCATGTGTCTTTAGTTTTGAAAAGCTTCTAAGCAGACCCTATAATTTATAACATAATGTGCAAGTAGAAGCAATAACATATTTAAGAAAAAATGTTTGTCTTAAATCCACAATTTATACAAAAATAATCTAAGCCAACCACAGTAGTCCCAAAATAGGGACAAACTTGTGAACCTAGTTTGAGTCATGTTGACTTCTGTTTATTAGTTTTTTCTTTAAAAAAATTTTTTTTTTTAATTACTAGAATAAATGTAACTGGAAAGAATTATAAAAATCTCATGACCAGCTCAATGCCAACCATCCCACTTATTACCTAGAAATATTTTATTTTTTTAAATGTCTTATGAATGTGCATCTATGGCATATGAAAATAAATTTAAAAACTATTTTTTTTTTCATGAAAGAGCATACAGCTTAACTTTTAAAAAATAGTACATTTTTCAAAAAAAGAGAATGAATACAGTAAAGAATAATTTATGTTCAACACTTTATGAGTGGACATTATATCTATGCATGATTGATTGGGTTAAAAAATATTAAAGACAATTTTAAATCTCACCAAGTCCCAAACAGAAAGACCATAAAACCTCCATGTCCATATTTTAATGCCCTTGAAACATTACCTAATGGAGCATAAAAAAAAATTATTATTTATTTAAAATAATAAATAATTGCATTATTAATACATACATTTTCCCTAGAAAAAAAAAGTTCACATTCATTAATGCATAAACATCATTTGGTTGAAATAACCAATACATTTTTCCTGTACAGAAATTAAATACAATGTTAAAAGAGCTAAAAATTTTGCTAATGAATAGATGTAAGAATGCTCATTCACTTTAGATCATTTTCTGTTAATGTGATACTTAAAAGACATGTCAAAAAATAATTAAGACATAAGCCCTTAAATATTTCATAATAATTTTTATAAACCACATTAATTACATAATGGGAGTCAATTTATTCTGAGATTTCAAAAATTTCTTTTATTGAACAAACAAATGGAAATGTATTTTGATGACATTTTACATTTCAAAATAATAAATAAATTGCTGACAGTAAAAAAACAATACCAGTCTGATTTAGACAGCAAGTGTACTTAGAGAATTCCAAAGAATAACATTAGTTTTATGAACTCACTTGTAAAGAGAAAATGAGCCAGGCCAATACCTAAGCCACCATTAATACCATAGAGACATGAGGTTTTCAAGCATGGAGTTGTTTGAAGTCTGGTAATAAAACTGACCTATTTTTGAATATTGATAACTATTATTATTTTATTTTTTAGGTGAAATGAAATACTGTTTTATTATCATGACAAACATCTGTTATTTATTTCATAGCTTTAAATAATAATAAAAATTTAAAAGTATTGTATTCTTTAACACAAAGGCTTAGAGAGAAACAGCAGATTATCAATATGGATGAGAATCCACTGCATAATTTGAAAAATTATTCTTTTAGCAAAGTGTGCAGTGTTTTTAACAATTGAAAGGTTCTGAGAAATATGTACAGATATAAAAGATAAGAATTGATGCAAATATGCACCAATCAAGAATTTCATAATACCAGTTATAGGAATTACAATACAACAACCATAGTGGCAGCAATTTAAAAAAGACAGAATGGATGAGACATTTAAAGACGATGCCAGATTATAGGGGAGAGATTAGTGAATGTTGTGTACTGACAGAAACTAAGGGAAGTCTTAACATCTGTAGTCTAAAAATGAGCTGAGGATCCATTTGTGGAGACTAAATTGCCATGGAACTGTCCTAATGGATAATATGACAGTGAAGGACTGAGCTATCGATGGGTTGTAGTACCACTGATGATTATGTTATGTAAAAAAAAACCACCAGAATTTAAATAGATAGGACGTTAAAGATCAAAAGCATACTGGAGAAGCCAAATCAAATTCTGAATAAGATTGGCCCATGTGGCCAGATAATAACCACCCCAAAATTAATGGAATTGCTGATACATGGACTGAGATGTGTGGCTTGGAGGAAAAGATAACAATTGCATTCTGCAGTTTCACCCTAATATGATAATTTGACAATATATCAGGCTAAATATACAGCTGATTTGTATCTAACTCTTAGGATAGGCCATCAAACTAGAGAATTAATTGCAGTCCCTGGTCTCAAGACAGTAAACAGGCTAAAAAATTGTTCAACAATGATGAAAAAGAACTGGTTTTAAATTTGAGTGAGAGAGAAACAAAGATAGAGAGAGAGAGAAAGAGCTAGACAGAGAAAGAGCTAGACAGAGAAAGAGAGTATAGCTATGGGCATGGTTATGAGATGCCTATGGCCAAAGTGATATGGTTTCTGAAAATTTGAACGAAAGAAATTTGTTTAAAGAAAATTGTTGAACAAAAGTTTGTTCGACGAAAGCTTGTTTAAACAGCAACTTGTCTGATTGGAAATGTTCTCTAACGTAAGTTTTTTCAAAGGGAATATTGTTGGGAAAAAAAAGATTTAACAAAAAGAAACAACTTACATTTTCCCCATTTTTCACTTCATTCATCCAAAGCCCCTTATTTAACATTTAAAAAATACATAAATAAATCTCCTTTTAACAAAGTTAATTTCCATCAATAATGAATCTGGAAACAAATTTGCATTGAACAAACTTCTGTCTAACAAATTTATTTTGTACAAAGTTTGGGATAGTAAGTGATAGTTTAGTGATAGGAGTCAGAAAGAACAATCTTTTCGACAGTAGGCCTAATTGAATTACTTAGAGTAAGAATATTCATAATATAAAGACATTGTCAATGTGAAAAAATCTGCCTGGCCTTAACAGAATTAACAACTAATATTTACGAATATTACTAAAGATAATTATAATTTATAAGTCAGTATCAGTGATCAGTGTGTAAAATGTAGGAAATAATTATTGTTCCCTAATTTTTGTAATTAAATGTAATGGTCCTTCTAATGGTTTAATGGTAGAGCCTGAATCCTGATCAACTTTTTAATTTTAAAGTTTTACTTGGCTTTAAATTTTAAATACTTATTTAATGTTTATATTTTTTCTATTTACTTTAATTAGACTACTAATAGGATGTCTTAACTGAGGAGAATTATTAAATTCTAATTCATGCTTTTAATTCATTACCTTGCTCTTTGAAATGTCTTCATCATTCGGAGCATCCATGGATGTAATTCTTTTTGTTTATTATTTTATTTCAGACTCAATACTATATAACACTAATTCTATTTAACCCTTCATGAGTTAAAACGCGAGTAAATCATAATTACAGGTCAAGTAGAACAGGTTCCGGTTTCGTTTTTACAAATTTTTGTAACACAAGTACTTCGCCTTTAATTACTGTATTAGAAAAAGGTAAAATATCAAATGATCAATGTTGTATTTTTTTCACTAGTACTTGTATAGACCTAACTGTCATGTTTAATTAAATTAAAGAATGGTATTCAATACATGTTCTTTATTGATACTGTTGTCAGTGTTGTCCCCTGATCATATAAACTTATAAACAATTTTTTTTCTACAAGTTATTTTCTAATGTCAATAATGTTCTTCAGTAAAAAAAAATTATCTGAAGTCTAAAGACTAAATGAAAAATTGTAACTTATCATTATTGCTATTATTAGTTTAATGGAGATTATCACATAAATAAAATCAAGAAGTAGACTAAGCCATATAAATTAAGATAATTTAAAGCTGCATACATTTAGTTATCCACATTTTTTTATTCATTGAGTTCAAGCAACATTTTGTTTGCAGTCATTTGAGACATTAACAATTTAATTAACTTAGAATTACCAGATAGGCTGCTGATAACAATTTTAAGACTAAAACTAAAATTAAAACTGTTAATATTCTAGTTAATATTCATATGCAAGATCTGCCAGTTATTATAATTCACTTGTGGACTGTAAAGCATATTAAAATTTTAATATGTTGCGGAATTCTTTGGATGATTGATAGTATTTTATTTATAGTTGATAGACTTATTGACTTGTTAGTACTTATTAGTATTAGTAATTAGTAGCAGAAGACTTTTATAATTATAATTGCTATATATTCTGTGAAATACTAAATTTAAATTGTTGTGACTTTATTTTATATATCAATTTCAAAAGTACTTTAAACAAAATTATTTACATAAAACAAATTAATATTAACTTTAAATTATAAATACTATTATTAATGGTCACTTGCATTAGGCATACTATTTTATAATCAATGTTATAATAATAATACCTTTAAATAAAAGTCCTATCTAAGTCAAAGACAAGTGGTTTTTCATCCCATGACCATAGTTAGCCTATGGCCTAAAATATAGAATTATAGACGCTAAGTTAAGCTATCTGACAGATCCTAATTGATAATTGTAGTGAAAATATTAGTATTAGGCCATAAAACACAGTCCTTCATTTATTACCCTTGAACTTCAATCAAATAAGCTTACTTTTTTCACATAAAGATGTCTTAGATTTATTATTTATGTTTTACAAGTCTTAAATTAATCAAATTTAATATAAGTGGAAATATGGGCCTTGTCTTTTGTAGGGAAGAGGGTAGTCTAGGACTACTATTAGTACTAGTAATGTGTGTCCCTTTGCCTTAACAGATTTAAGCTGTTGGCACTGTTGGCCTAATTGACCTAAGGAATAAAATCTCATCGGCAATTAACTCAGGGATTGATCCATTATTACATGGTATAAAAGTTTAGTTAATATTGGTCAGTGCCAGCAACTAAAACAGAGGCTCTGATTGGCTTAAATCAGAAAACAGTACTGCTTCATGGCCTTTAAGTTTCTTGTTAATTTTATAGAGGGTTTTGACAGCGTATGTGTTTAGTGGTGCCTAATACCCCATTTTGCCAAATGCCCACTTTAACATATATCCCCTACATATACTGGTACAATACTGGTACTTAAAAATCATAATTTTATTAATCAAAAAAATCTATTAAAATGCACTTATATTATATAATTTTGTTAACACTGCTTAGGCTAATGACTTATAATATAAAGCTTGATTTTAAAAATAATACTTTCTTGTCTAAAACAATCATATTGTTTACTATAACTGCCGAGTGTCCTTTTTGAAGTTTTTAAATTATGAATTTTTGAAAATATTTTTTTTTAGAAATAACAGACCAGACAGAGTGAGTTAGGGGGCATATAGACATAATTCATAGTTTTAGTACACACCAATCAGAGATAAGCTAAGGTTTCATGTCGCTGGGCTTAGGGAAAAACTCCTTTTTTTATTTTACATACATAATATAATACTGTTGAAACCATGGGAACTTATTTATAATTTAAAGCATGCTTTACTGGCAAATATTTTGTAGGTTATTTAATTGCAGTGATACTAATCAGTAAAATGGTTATCCATCCATCCATACCTGTGACGCTACAGCCAATGTATGGCTTTGGCCTGCCTCACTACTTCCTTCCATTCAGACCTAACTAATGCTTTTCTTTTCCATGCTTGGATTCCCAGCTGCTGTAGATCTTTTTCCACATCATCCATCCATCTAAGCCTAGGTCTGCCTTTGATCGGTTTTCTTCTAGGGTTTTGGTGATGCATTTTGCATTAATTGTCATTTTGCATTATTTCTAAGACTCCTGCCTAGCGTAGCCTACCCTTTTTTATTTCTACTACTATCGTGGGATCCTGATATAGACTGTACAATGCCTGGTTGGATCGTATTCTCCATCCATTTTCATCTTTTGTTGGTCAATATATTTTTCTGAGAACTCTCCCATGTGTATAATAGGTTTTCTGCCATTTTTGTTAGGGTCCCAGTTTCATTTGCATTTGTTACAACTGGTCCGATTATAGCTTTATAAACTGTTTTCTTTGTTCGTCTTGTAATGTTTTTACTTTTGAGTATTTTCTGACTACGGTACTGAAGTATGCCCTGTTTCTGGCCGATATTCTTACTTTTATTTCTGTTAGTAATTCTTTTCTTTCATTTAATAAAGATCCTAGATATTCGAATTGATTTACTTTTTCAAAAGTGTGGTTTCTAATTTTAATGGCTTCATCTTTATTCTCTTCTCTTATCAAAGTCATGTTATTTGTTTTTTGGTTTTTAACTTCCAGCCCTGCTTGTAATGATGCGTCTTCTAATTCAATAAAGGCTTTTGATATGTCTTTAACTTTACTACTTTTTCCTAACATTGCTAGGCCATCAGCATAAGCAAGATACAGAAGGGTTCTTGGGTCTCCCTCAAAAAGTATTCCGTTCTTGTTCCTCGGATGTCAATATGTATGTTTCTTATAACCCTCTCTTATGTAAGGTTAAATAGCATAAAAGACAGTGAGTATCCTTGTCTTAGGCCTCATCAGTATGGAATTACCTTTAATATTCTCCCTGAATCTTTGATTTTGCATTGGTTAATGTTACATGTATCAGTCTTGTCAGTTTGGTTTTATCAAAAGCTCATTAAAATAATGATTGATTCTTGGGAATCCCAAATTTCCTTAGAGTTCATTATGTAATTTTGTACCTGGCAACGCCTATGACCTATGAGTTGGCCCTATCATAAAATAATTTTTTAAAGTTGAAATTTTGGTGGACTAAAAGTAAAAGCTAACAAAAAGTAAGTTATGTGTTTGATTTAATTTAATTTTTTAACTTATTGGCTTAAAACAAACAGCCCAAAAAGCCACAATCCTACAAACAAATTTTAAATCCAACTCTATGTGGAAGCTCATTTTATTTTTTATTAAATGTGATTAGTACCATTACAGAACAAGAATGCTGTTGGTCAGAGGTTCAATGCTCACTATTACAGAATCTCCACACCAGACCTCACAAACCTGTGGGCTAAACAGGCTCACTGCAAATTTTGATAAGAGCAACATTAGAAGGCTGAAGTCATCATTGTGCAAAACATGATACAATGCAAAAATTCTGTAACATCCGTATACCATAAAAGTTTTTTAAAAAGTGGAAGATGAAAACACTAATATATATTAAAACTTATGTGAGCTTTATTAGCAACCCAAACTCAACATTAGTGATGCATCTTAATGTATTACAGTTTATTTAGCAGTACTACTTAAGGTGGAATTTAACCGAATTTAATTTTTTTTCTCAGAAGGAAGGATTTAACTATCATGGCTATGCAGTACAAGTTGACAAGTACCTTTTTTTAAATTTTAATAAAGCCTCAGCTTTTTCCAAAACTAAAACCAATGGAAATAAAGATTCCTTTTATAATAATTTAATTTCTGTGTATTTGCAAGACTGGATTGACATCCTGAATTGTGTGTGTGCACATCAGTTTTTGCCTTTCAAAAGGTTCATACAATTTTATTGTTACCTGTTCAAAAAAAAGTCATTGGGTATCATGAGTGAGGCGAAACAAACATTGAATTCAATTAAAGGAATTGAGAAACAAAAAGAAGACATGATCCAAAGGCTTGTTAGAACAGATGCTCACTTTAAACATCAACAAAGAGGGGAGCCTGATCTCACATTTGAGGAAAAGTCAAATATAGCGTTAGATGTTTTTAAGAAAAGCCCAGCCTTATTTCTTGAAAGATTTTCAAAATTTCTTACACTGGAAGACACAGAATATTTCAGTGAGCTGAAAGGAGACTACAGGATTGATTTTTATGTGCAGGAGATTGTTAACAGATGTAAAGATACAAATAAAAGTGTCATAAAAAACAGGAGATATCGAGCTCTTCAGGAACTGATGGATGAAGGTGAATATTTTTCTGAGGAAGAAATGAAATGGCGAGATCCTTTATTGTTTGAACAAATGGTGAGTTCAAATGACGTTTATACAAATATGTAGTTTTGAATTTCAAAAATGAAAATTCTATAGCAAAATCAATCTAATGTATGAGTATCTGGATTTTCTCACATCAAAGCGCCACCTTCCTCCGTGCCAATCTTCAATTTTTAAAAACTTTGTGACTCTAATTTGGTTAGTTCCTGAATGTTCATTAAATTTTATTGGAGATTTTTACCATTTCTATTTGCATCAACTTGGAATACTTTTACTAATTTCAGTTGGTTTCTTTAAAATGTTTGCAGCTTTAGCAGTTTTCAGATCTTTTTATCTGTGTCATTTGTTGTACAGAAAAGGACAATCCACTTTTTTGAAAGTCTAAATTAAAAATTTGCTCTGACCTCCTGACAGATTGGTCAGTATGCGAGTGAGGCTGAGAAAACTGAACAAATGGAGCAGGACATTGACAGAAGTGACCTCAAGTTTTCAACAATCTTACTGAAGCACATGGACACCCAAGTCAATAAGCAGTTCTTTGAACAATTGAAAGAAAAAGAGGTGGGACATCTTTGTCAAGTAACTATGACCTAGATACACCCGGTAATAATGTTTAAACTTAAATATGGTCCATTTGCAAACACCTGAAACGGCTTTGGTGTCGAATAATATAATTAATTTTGAGTAACTTTTTAATCAGTCATAATTTTGATATCACAATGTTTGGATTAAAGTTAAAGCTTTGTTGATTTATTATGTTCCGAAACAGGAGGAACAAGAAGAGGAAGAAGAAGAGGAAGACAGTGATGAGGAGGGTGATGTGATGGAAGAAGATGGAAGAGATAAAGAAGCTCAGGGTGAGTGTACATTTTATAAATAGCATTACTAGTATTAGTGTATTTTGTATGAGGCCAGTTTCGTCCCAGCTTTCGTCCCGACCGGAAAACTCCCTGGACGGTGGGGGGGAGGTAATGCAACACCTTTCCCCTGGAGAGGAAGCAAAGCCGTTCCGACCCAAGGAGAGTGGACCCCAAACGCTTTAAATGCAGCGTTTTCAGTCGACCGGACGTCCCTCAGGCCAGGGGGGAGGTTCCCGACGTGCTTCTGCATGGTCTGGCGGCGGGAGACCCACCGACGCCATCTCCAAAGTGACGCATGAGGCACCATGTACCAAAAAAGTTGATAAAATGAAAATTTATTTAAAGATGATGATTTTAGTCGAGGTTTTACATTTGAATATTGTTAACATCACAGTTTGGGTGGAAGTATTTAAGAGAAATACTAAAGTAAGCTCAATGTACAAAATTTTAATTGGCACTGACAAATTTTCTTTAATATTTGTGTTTTCCCAAAAGTTCTTTAAGTATAAAATATTTACTTAGGGATTTGGATTTTTTACCACTTATCTAGAACTCAGTAAATTATCTCCGATTTAAGACCCTTAGTTGTGTAGTTTAAGTAATGTATTTCTACTATCGACTGTGTACCACAAAATCCCAGGCTCTGAGGAAAAGGATACAGACTTGACAACTTCTGAAAGATCTTACCTGCGAACAGAGTTTCTCAGAATCATGCAAGAAAGGTTTCTATCAGGGGAGGATAGCGGTTTTGATTACAGGTAAAACACTGGAGGAACATAACCTTGTGGAAGGGTGTTGTCCACACCTGAAGATCAAAATGGGCCTTCTTTCCCAAGAAAAGAAAGTTATTTACAAATAATTTACAAGTTTTAATATAAGATACCTTTTACTTTAATGTCACATTCCCTGAAAGTGTATTGTATGGAATTTAATCAATCCATATAAGTTGGTGGAGCCCATGGAGGGACCTTCCCAACGACATTCTTCCACTTGAAATAATCTGTGACCCTTGAACCATGACAGTCAGCTGGAGCAAACCTGCCTCCAAATGTTGACAATGCATAAAAATGTATTTAATCTAATCATTAAAGGCTCTTTTTTTTTTATTTGCTCACTGACATCAAAGTTGATAGGTACTCTTACATCTGTTATTTCTACCTCAACAGTAAAGTTGACAGCAATGCTGACTATGACTCCTTGGATATTCTCGGACATGATGCTGAAGAGAAATACTTTGATGATGACAATGAGCAGCTCTGTGAGGGAGATGAACTTACAGATTCAAGGGAGGACACACGCTGGGACAGGTTGCTTAGGCGGAGAATTGAAACAATGGGCTTGAAGACTGATGAGGAAATAGCAAGGGAAATGATAGATGAGATGGGAGATAAGCCACTGAATAAAGATGATATGAGTTACCCTCCCTGTGAAACTATAACAGAATACAAGGACTGCTCCTAACAAAACAATTAGTATGCTTTTCTCTTTCCTGAATGTGTGAGGTTACTTTGATTATTTTATCTGACAATACTGTTTTATGCTTCTTTAATGGGATATCTTTAACTGGACATGACTCTGTGTTTGATTGTTCTGCCATCAGGATTTGTTAAAATGACTGGCTTGTGAGATATTAAATTACTCGACGCCACATAATATTTTGCTTATTTATTGGTAATGATAATTAAAAGCTCAGTTTTTATTAATGAACTCCACTAAAAAAAATGATAAAATAATTGAGTTCTGTGCATTCATTTAACATAGTGGTCGGCAAAGTCATTAGCCAAAAGAGCCATCAAGCAGGACGATTACAAATTTCTTTTCAAGAATCTATGAAGAACCATGTTTTTCAGAGTCAAAACCTATTTGTGGCTGACTGGCCGAGCGGACTCAGGTAGCAAAAGAGCTGCATGCGCCACGATTTGCAAACCAAATTAGGCCGCCAGTTTTCAATCTTTTTATATTAAAATTATTTAATACTATTTAGAAATTAGACATATTAAAATAAAAATTTAGAATATGCCTCAGTAGGCAGCAGAGTCTAAGCAAATTATATATTGTTTATAGTAGAAGTGTCATTTTTACTTTGAATGAACTTTTTTTTAATTGTAAGTGAAACTCCCATAAATTAAATTCTTTCTAATGTAGATTTTTACCCCTTATAATCAAAATATTTCCAAACTGGTTGAAAACAACTGGGTCATTATGTTTCATCACAGATTTTAAGTATGGTGTGTAGGCTTACTAAGTTGTACAAAGTTCCTACTCTCCAAACCACCAAGTGAGAGGAAGTTGATTAACTAAAATTTCTGCAAGAGTAACATTTCCTTATTTTATGGTAATTGCCCCACTTGAATTTTTGCTCCATTTTCAAAAGGATGACATTTATTTTGTAAGAGTAAGAGGATCCCTGAGTAAGTCCTGAACCAAATTTCAGCTCTCTAGCTCATCAGGAAGTCACTGCATTTTCAAGATTTTGACATACACATACTGAAACATCCAGAGAAGTTAGTTGAAACTTTTTTTTTTTTAAAGAAACATTTTTGTGGATCCAAAGTCAAGTTTCATTGAAAGTAACAGTAACATCCATGACATTGACAGTGTGAAGCTCCTGTTTACCAGTGCTTTCTGTCAAATGTAACAGTTTAACATCTATGTCATTGACAGTGTGAAGCTCCTGTTTCCCAGTGCTTTCTGTCAAATGTAACAGTTTAACATCTATGTCATTGACAGTGTGAAGCTCCTGTTTCCCAGTGCTTTCTGTCAAATGTAACAGTTTAACATCTATGTCATAGACAGTGTGAAGCTCCTGTTTCCCAGTGCTTTCTGTCAAATGTAACAGTTTAACATCTATGTCATAGACAGTGTGAAGCTCCTGTTTCCCAGTGCTTTCTGTCAAATGTAACAGTTTAACATCTATGTCATTGACAGTGTGAAGCTCCTGTTTCCCAGTGCTTTCTGTCAAATGTAACAGTTTAACATCTATGTCATAGACAGTGTGAAGCTCCTGTTTCCCAGTGCTTTCTGTCAAATGTAACAGTTTAACATATATGTCATAGACAGTGTGAAGCTCCTGTTTCCCAGTGCTTTCTGTCAAATGTAACAGCTGAACATCTATGTCATTGACAGTGTGAAGCTCCTGTTTCCCAGTGCTTTCTGTCAAATGTAACAGTTTAACATCTATGTCATTGACAGTGTGAAGCTCCTGTTCCCAGTGCTTTCTGTCAAATGTAACACAATCATTTCACAACAGAAAATGAAGAAATAGATATTCATCATGTTTATTGTACATAGAATGGTTTATGTCCCTTAAGAAAACAATCATGCATATTTAAATTGATCAAGTTAAAATTGTTTGACACAGAGTGTACACCTAGTGCTCATTAAGGCAATGGCTTTTTCAAGCTGAGCAAAGTAAGTTCATCTCTTGTGAAGGGTGAAAGCAAATTTTTGACAGTGGCTTGTGGACAAGTGACACATACACCATGTTAAGATAAAAACTAAGATTAGAGGGTCACTTGCAATGCCTGTCAGCTGCGATTGTAACAAGATTATTGCAATATGTGGAACAATATACTAAAAAAATCAAAAGTTTGATGATCAAGTAAATGATCTTAAATATGCCAATAATGATGTTTAAAAATGGTTTAAACAGACTGAATTCTTAAATAGCTTCCAATATGTAATGTAACAATGTTAAAACATGAGGTTATATTGTTACAATATTTGTCACTGTGGTCTCTTGTTATTAATTGATTTGGTTTGTAACTGGCCTAAGAAAATCTGACAGAAGAATTTCATCATACACATTCAGTCTTTGGTTACAAGCAATACACAAATTTTGCTTGCAGCAATCTGTAATCATGGACCACAATATTGTGGCACCTTTCCCAATCAAGTGGTCAACAAATCTCTGACAATGTGGTCTATTGTGAGCAACATGCCTAGCAAGCATTTCTGAAATCCATAAGACAAATGTGGCATCCCTGTGATTAAAAGGCATTTTATACTGTTTTAAATGGTATTTACACAACATTCTTGCGATATGTACATCACAATGGAATGCATTACAAAACTTGTGACTTTTTCTTCACTGTCCTGGCATTTATGTGACATTTACACAAATATTGATGCCAGTTTCATGTCTGTTTTAATAACATTAACAAGTTCAGGGTAATAGGATCAATTTGACTGTGTCATTGACTTTAAGTCTTTACATTCTGTGGTAGAATATTTGCAGCCAATGGTGGAAACATTGCAGTCAGTTGTTGAAAGTTTGCCAGCTGTTTTGGTCAAGTCCTGGAGGGTTTTATCCATGCTACTTGGGTCAGCTCTCATGTTTCGGATCAAGTTAGAGTACCACATGCTCATGTGACGGACCTTGGGCATGACTGACAGCAGTTCTGGGATGCGGTCATCTGGGTCAACATTGATGGCTAAGGTAAACAAAGGACGTGGTCACTACATGGATATCATAAAATTATTGGGTTATTTTTGGCACCTAACAAAAAAAAATTTCTAAATTATTCACATTCAAACCCCAAAAGATGAAAAGAATCAACACATTTATTTTTCAATTTAATTAAAGATAAAATTATCCTGATCATCAAGTAAACAACACACTATAGTTTCAAGACCGCTGATGATTAATCAAAATTGAAACCTACCCTCACAACTGCAAACAACTTTCTTATATTTGTAGCAGATATTTATTGAATCAAGTGGGTCAGTGCGTTGACATGACTTACAGAGATGGGGGGAAAAAAAATCTCTTAGAAATAATAATAGTAACTCACTGCTGAGGTAGTGACCAAGAATCTTCATCAGTGTGTGAGTGTAGTCCCAGATACTTGGTAAATTTTGAAACGTTGCATTCTCTGGAACAAAGATTATATTAAGGAGGACAGACTCGGGTGGTGATATTTTTTTGTGTTGATAATGAAAATATGTGTCATGAAATATATTATAACAAAGACACAGAAGACTGCAGGGTACTTGGGTTGTGTAATGATAGCTCAAGTAAGGAGATTGACAGTCGCCGCCATAGTGGTCATTGAAGAAGCGGAGGATAGTTACAGCAGTCATCAAAGTAGTAAGTGAGAGCAGTTGTCGCAAGAGCATTACCACTAAGTTAAGAAGTGAGAGTAATTGTTTTAATCATGCGAGGGAGGTGTATACCTGTTTGTGAGAAATGATGTAGTTGTCAAGAGCGTATAGTGTGAGAAGGGCTGTAGTAGGATAGAGAGAAGTATTGTGAATCGCTGGGTATAATAATCAAGAGAGTAAATTGGAGTTGCTATAGCCAGTGAGACTTAACTCACAGAAGTGTGCACAGGAAGTACATGATGCCAGTTACAAATCGTGATATCTCATAGAGACATTTCACTATTTAGTTTGACTACAGGACACTTACCTGGACTCATGATGTTCAGAGCAGACAAAAGAGCCACTTCAGTTCTGTCCATGTGTAAATTAAAAATTCGACTGCCTGTTTTGATTATTCTGTTACGAAATGGACAAAGTGGATGATCTTGAGGGAGTTTCCAATTCCAGAAAAATTTGAATTTTTTCCGGACGGGATCAAACCATTCTTTGGATGCCATGAGGATTGTGTTGCCAAACAGACGAGTGTTGTTGCCAAGCTTAACCCTGTCCTTTGGGTGGATCTCTTCAATGTCTGGCACACACAATACATTAATCAGATGAAATATTTGTATGATGGATACATCAATCAATAAATAGTGGAGCCAGATATGTTTAGGCTTGAAAATAAAAGATAATTAACTGAATTTTTTTAATGAAAAACAGGGGCATTTATCCCCCTCCTGAGTGGTGGAAGCCAAGGCCAACCCACCCCAAATAGTGGAGCCAGATATGTTTAGGCTTGAAAATAAAAGATAATTAACTGAATTTTTTTAATGAAAAACAGGGGCATTTATCCCCCTCCTGAGTGGTGGAAGCCAACCCCCCCCCCAACTTGGAATTAGTCAATTTTGTACTGACGCTAGTGTAGGTTATGTCAGTCAAGATATTGGTGTTTTACTATGAATATTAATTGTATACAAATTCGAAATTTTCTAATTGGTAAATAATAGTATCAATAATAAACAAGCCCCCATTTTTCAGCAAATTAAATTATCAAATCATGTGATTATTTTTAAAAAAAATGAATAATGTCAAACTTTTATTTTGGTTTTAATTGTTATAATTCATTTAAAGGACAAAGTGCAGGGTGGCTGTTGTGTCACAGCAAGTTTTGTTCTATTATAGAGAATTGGCTGAATTGGAGTTTAATTCCCAGCCTAATCCTGACTAATTTATACTTTGTTTACCCTAAAAATTAAAATATTGGATAATTGTATTCTTTTCTTTTTTATACCATATTAATTGTTACCTGGAAAATATCATTTAATTTAATAATTGCATACATGACAAAAGCCTAGTTAAGAATTCGTGCATACGTGATAGCATTCAATTTAAGACTGACACACACGATATCAGACCCATCACTCAATTTGATAATTTGTCTAACGTGGCCACAGCCCACCGAGATCTTACCTGGCAATTTGAGCACAAACTGAGCTTCAGCGTACGTCTGTCTAGCCACCCGCTCTTGAAAATGTTTCCAGTGGTCAGTGTCTTCTCCCCGTACTGGCCACAGCTCACACTGAAGCACAGAAAATATTGCATCAACATTTTAAATATCTTTAGGCCGAAGCAGTGTTTCTATCAGGCATCTCTCGAGAGAGAGCGGCAAGTGCTCCGCGCCCCCCCCCCTCCCCACCTTCCCAAACCCCCTTTTCCAAGTAGAAAAATGTGCACAACAATAAAGATACTAAATTGTCATTTATTATATTTTTTAATAAAATTAGTGAAGTAGTGGAACCAAATATGTATCACTACGTTAAATATCTTTGATGATCGGATATATTTAAGGTAAAT